AAAATAAACGCTGTGCTCGCCGTTATCTCGGGGGTCTGACAAAGGAACTTCCACCGCTCGACATCGGTGTGAACCGGCCGTTCAAAGTAAGGCTGCGAGCGGCGTGGGAGCGATGGATGACAGACGGAGACCACAGTTTCAGGATAAGTGGAAGGCAGCGCCGGGCAAGTTACGCCACCGTTAGCGGATGGATTGTAGATGCTTGGACTAACGTGTCTGCTGGCTCTGTTGTTCAAGCTTTTGCAAAAGCCGGCATTATTTCTGAGGAGCCGCGCTGCACGGAAAGTGACTCTGACAGCGAAGAAGGGGAAATTGGCATGTCTGATTTAGCGCAGCTGTTTAATTCAGAAACAGAGGATGAGGACTTTGATGGGTTCGATTAATACTTTGTAATAAATACATGAATAAAGCACAAACATACTCAGTTTTGCTCCCGCTCTATTTTTCTTCCTGAAAACTTAACTCAACAGCAGCCTCTGGGCGGGTCTCCTCCTCTTCACCGCGGTGGCTGGCAGGTGTTTTTTCATCTAAATAATCTAAATCTTGCAGCTATATTTGCTGTGATCAGTGGGAATAAAGTAGTTTTAATATGTTTTTTAAGTGAGAAAGTCCACCTGAAAACTTAATAATTGCAGTCAGTTCATCCAGATTATCTATTTCTGTCGGAGGCGCTCAGACCCCCACATACTAGCGGTGCGCCGACAGTAGAAATCCCTTCATCAGCAGCCTCTAGGCTGGGCAGCCTCCGGATTCATGCAGTGGCTGGCAGGTGTTTTTCATCTAAATAATTTAAACTGCAGGCACCAGGATACCGGTAATAAAAGCGAACATATTCTGTCGGCAGGTTTCAGGATTTTAAGTTAATTTAGGAGTGATCACAGCGCTGTGTCATCTGCGATGTGTCTGTCTCATGGCCAGCTCCCAGGTTTGATTAATACTTTGTAATAAATACATGAATAAAGCACAGTCATACTCAGTTTTGCCCCCGCTGTATTTTTAAATACGCAGTAGAGCTATTTAAAGGTAGTAGAGGACATGTACCTGTATATAAAAAACGCGCCCTATAGTCCGGTACGCCTTATGTGTGTGTTAAATACAGAAATGGCACACATAACTGAGACTGCGCCTTTTAGTACGGTGCACCTTATGGTCGTGAAAATACAGTATACAGTTTATTTATGTGAATGCTATCCAGTGGTTGGTACATTTAGGTTCTTACTGCAACAGTGATGTGCAAAAAATAACCGGTATTGCAAGAACATAAAAAAAAATAAAATTGCAGCGATAAATAAACATTTCTGTACAAAAACAGACATAAATCAATCAAATAAAAAATAAAATTCAGACTTTTTTTTTATCCAAAGTGTATTAATCTGGTCCTAAAACTACAGTGGCTGGGAAGTGCAAATCAACAATACAAAATCTGAAACACTTTTAAAAATCTTGAAACAACTTTACATTTGAGAAAACAAATTTACAACAAACGAAACACTTTTACAAATCATAAGACAAATTTACATTTGAGAAAACAAAATTACAACAAACGAAACACTTTTACAAATCATAAAACAAATTTACATATCAGAAAACAAAATTACAACAAACGAAACACTTTTACAAATCAAAAAACATATATATATATATATATATATATATATATATATTTTTTTTTTTTTAAGTGTATAAGTTTGGATTTATATATTTCTAAAGATATTTTGATATTTTAAAAAAAGCATAATTCTATCATGAAATTGTGTGTTTTGCTTCTATGTTTATTTTGAAATTGTTATATGTGCAAAAAAACAACAAAAACAACAACAATAAACATAACTAAATTGTTCATGGAGGGCCCCACTAGTTGTCCTGGGGCCCTAAGCATAGTTTGCCTATGCCATGGGCCAGCTCTGCATTCGCTGCTTGAATCAAGTAAAGAGGTTAAACTTTATATCCATTATCCATTATCATATTTTTATGGTAATTTAGGTGTGTTTTTATAAAACGATTAAAACAAAAAGTTAAGATGGAAAAAAATTTTTATTTTTATTCTTATTTATAAATGTTGCATCAATGCTATAATGCCAGGCATAAATGGACCAGTTTAATCAACATTTTCTAGCAATCAGATCTATGATTAATATCAGAATTACAAAGAAAGTACTTTTTATTTCATTTTGTGGAGAAAGATCAATTCCAACTTTGAAGGTGGTCTCAACATATTTTCAACATGGAGTTCAGGAAAAGTTTTACTTTCAATAAAACGTAGAAGTCAGCTAATCACCGCCCTAAAGACGGAGGATGCACATAGAAATCATGTGAAAAATTAAAGGTTAATCTGTTTTTAGGGCTGTGCATTATCAGGTGTGCATTATTAATTATTAGGATGTGTAGATGCTAGTAGTTAATATCAAGCCAATTAGGACTTAGAACTAGAAAGTTATCACTTCAGGTGCATCATCACTTCTGGATTTGAGCTCTGACTTCCGAGACAAATCAGTCACAGCATTAGCCACTTTTTTTACTTTTTTCATTGAGATCATGTATAAATATCAGGCAAGGAGGTTATTTAAATGAACTTTTGTCTCCATATTTAATTACCGTAGCTTTATGTTTGTAACTCTCCTCTTCTTTAGCTAATATTGTTTTTGTCTTTTTCCAGCTATGCAGAACAGTTAGTGCTGTACATGAAGGCTGAGGAGTTTCTATCTTCTGCGCTGCATTCTGCAAAGGAAAGCATTAAACAAGGCCACCTCCAGACCTCTTCGTCTGTCAAACAAGGTGAGAGTAATACCATACTCATACATGGGAAAAGTCCATCACGAACAATCAGAGTAGCAGAAGTTGAAATAAGAAGAATTGTCTTTAAGCTTTGTTTTGAACTTCTACACCTGCGGCCATATGTAATAACCAAGTAATGTGCATACAAAAAGAATGCTTCTGCTCCTATTAAAAGCTTTCATAGTCTTTTTACAAGGCTGTTTATTTGCTGTTAGAGATCTTGGAATAATTTAAACAAATCTTTTAGATGCTTCAATTTGGGTTTTTAACCTTTTAAAGCCAAGTGTATAATATTTGATACCTGAGTTTTTGAAACCTCTGCATGTCAGTGTGATGTTTTTGTTCTTGAAACCCTGACTTACATAATCAGACACATGGGGTAGTTTTGATAAAACATATAAATGATTATATAGAAATGCGTAATGTATCAAAACTGATCCAAATAAATGATGTAATTTAACGTTTACAAAATGTATATTTTTATTTCATTTGTCAGAAAGTTCAATGACAATTCTAATTTTGGAAAATTAGAATATTCTGTCAATTATTTCAAGGGTTAAAGGATATATCAGATATTGAAATTAAAAACCAAAAATCCCTTCATACAGTGATCAGGAAGCTCAACAACTTGTACAAGTGCTGCGTGACCTACTGCCGCTCCCTGAACGACCGGCTCCAGACCTTCTTGCTTGACAAACAGAAACTCATGGATCGCTTCAACAGCCTCACTGCAGAGAAGCTCATCTATGGACACACTGTGCATATGGTAGGTTCACTTTAAAGTGTTTAAGCTGATCTCTGATCATAATCTACCTTTTTTACATCAATTAGGCCTGCTTTTATCCGTGCTTCAAATGTTTGTGTTTACTATACTCAGATACAATCTGCTGCTTTGGACGAGATGTTCCACTATGGCGCAGCATCAGTGCAGCGCTATAACAAAGCCCTTCTGCTGATGGAGGGTCTGTCCCGAATCATTACGGAGCAAAAAGACATCGATAGCATTGAAAAATGTGTGTAGACTCTCATTACCACTATACAATTGATCACATTACTAAATTAGACCTTGTATTGATGCATTTCTCATGTGTTCATTGTTTGTTTTACGTTTTTTAGGTAAGAAGTGCATTGAGCGACGCCTTTCCACTTTGCAGACATAGTGGTATTCATTCTCCCTGAACAGTTCATACAACACACAAGCACTTTGATCAAATGTAGGAGAAATGACCACAAGACCACATGTTATCCTACTATCCAGACTGTACCTGTAGCATCACACCAAAAAAGGCATGAAAGTTTTTTTCTGTGTTCAATTCTTATGTTTTGTGTGATTTAGTGTGCTGCTTTTGCACATAATTGTAAAAGGAATGTGTTCTTCAGAGTGGGCTGAGGTTGTTTTTTTTTTTCAAAGAGGTTGGGGTGAGGGTGTAAACTGTTTAGAATATCTTCATGAATGTCAGCTTGCAAGCAGAAATTAATATCTTGGATGAAATGACCAAATATAGCGTGTAAAAGAATTTACCTGTATTACTTGGTATAGACAAATGAATGTAATTGAAACAAAAATAGTATTTTAACCTAATAGAATAAGTGCTTTATGACTGGTAATAAAGACTAAATCTTGCAATATATAGTAAAATGCACTACATGTCCTTTTGAAGTTGAGATTTTGTTTGAAAAAACACAAATCTGTTTTTCTCAGGTAGTGATGCAGTCATTTAGATTTTTGCATGTAAAAATCGCTCATATTTCTGTGCAAATTATTTTATATTTGTGTTAATGTTGATATTTTTGTGGTTTGTTTGGATGAATACAAGTTTTATTTGTTTTTTTTTTTGAAGAGTTTACTGTCTTCTAAGACAAGTCTTTAGAAAATGATATACTAAGTATTTTGTGAAAATGGTTTAAGAGATGCTTGCTGGAGTTTACTCAGTTACCTTTTTGTATTTTTTAAGAATGTTTGTGAAATTTTTGAAAAATGAATTGTGACACTGTTAGTGAGTTTGAACAATGTAATTTATTATCAAAGATAATAAACGGGTTTTCTTCATAATGCTGGTGTTTTTGGTATATCTTTATTTATAAAGTATGTCAATTTAAAGTGTAGTCTTCAGAATCCCATACATATTCTACACTTAATTAAAAACTTTAGATGTAAAGAGATTTCAGTTATTTTTCGTTTCTTATTTTCGGGACGTCACAGTTGTTTGACTTCCGGGTCACAGAGGGTCGCCCCGCCGCCATGTTGCTGAATGAAATTATCCTAACTTCAAAACATTAAAAAGCGGCTAGCGATAGCAGTTGATAGTATTTAATGGAATAACACTTATTTATTATTTTTGACCTATTGCAAACATGACTTAGACCTCATGAAATTAACACAGAAGCCTCCTTGCCGTGTAAGTATTCATATTCAAATGATTTATTTATTTAATCAGCGGCTCTGGCCTGCTAGCTACATCAAGCTAAACGCTAGCACGCGCTCCGTAGAAACTGTAGTTTTAAACGCGGAATGACAGTTTATATTATCATAAACGCTTCAGCAAAGCAGTACGTTTTTATCATAATGAATTCATTATAGTCTAAGAGTTTGCATTTGTTTTTATTTTGTAGCTAACGTTTTTATTTTCCTTCGTAGCATTAAAATATAGCGTACGCCCCGGAGCAGTCAGTGATGTGAACGCTCATCTTGAACACAGCTGTAGAAATTGTAATTAATGGCTGCTATTATCTATTAATTTACACACAAAAGCCTTGTCTGGAAATGCGTGTTTGTTACTGTACATTTAAAAGTGTAACAGCGATCAAGTCGTAGATTTCCTAACGGTGCTTAAACGCTGTGTATTGACTATACCTCTGATTAAATTCCCATCGGTATTATTATTATATTTTGGGTTAGTGCATCGCCTTTGTTTGCAAAGCATGTAGTTATAGTGTGAGAGGCGTTTTTGCTACTGTGCTTGCATGGTAATACTACGCCAATGCGTGTTTTAATAAAAACGTGTTTCAAAGTTGTTGTTTTTAAATAAAACGTCCCAATTTGGAAAGGCCAAATTAACAGTTTTCAATTTACATAATTTATATAATGTCTTAATAATCGTACTTATGTTGTATTTTATGAGTGGTTCGACGCATATGTCATTCTCAGCAGTAGCGGCTAATATTGTTGATTATTTCTGGGTAAAGCGTAATGTTTTTGAAACTTTTTAAAGTGCTTATCGGGTGATGTATGCCTTGATTATTAGATTAGTGGGAAAGTGTGACTTAAAGCAGTAAAAAGGTAGTATAATTTAAGTTTTAGTTATTCTTCTATTAATATGTTGCCATATTATATATTTTATGTTGCCATATTATATATTTTTTGGCAAATTATGAGACATAATGTTTCTAACGCTTAGCTCATACCACATCAGTATGGATATACTGAGTGTTTAAAAAATCATGATCTGAATAAAAGCATTTCTTTTATTTCTTAAAGCAGCCTGCCAAGTATTTTTTTCCAAGCAGGCTTTTACCTAGAAATATTTAATTGGGTGTACCTTGGTGTATCACATCTTTAGGCTTTGTGCAGAGTAGTGGGCTCAATGTTGAAATTTAGACTCTCTGAAATGCTATATCCTTCATTTTGAGGTGGAATGCAGCTTACTTTTTGTCTTTGTTACAACACTACTTTTGTCCTGATTATGGGAAGTATGTGTGCTTGACTAGAGGTGGAAATTTCTAGAGGTGAATGAATTAACCACTAGAGGTGGTTAATTCAAACAATCAGAACATGTAATAAAAATAATAATTGAACTTTATTGATCTCACATTGGAGAAATTGACCTCTGCATTTAACCCATCTCTTGGGGAGCAGTGGGCTGCCATTGTGAAGCGCCTAGGGAGTTGTGTGGGGTTAAGGGTCTTGGTCAGAGGCCCAGAGTGTCAGTCTGTGGGAGTGGGGCTCGAACTGAGAAGCTCAGGATTCCAAACTCTATGCACTAACCACTAGGCCGCCACTCCCTGATTGCCAATGCTGCATCCACACTGCGATTTGAGCAGCGAAAAGCTCCTGCTGCTTCATTTTAGATGCGTGTATACATTAAGGTGTGTAAAGTGTGTACAGATCATCTAATGCTTCTACTGCTCCTTTGTTCAAAGGCTGAGAGTGGCTTTTTTTTCCAGAAAGTCCACCTACTAACATTGTCTGTGCAGTCAGTTCATCCAGATTACGATCCTGCCTAAAAATATTAATTCGCTGTCAGAGTCGCTCAGACCCCCCACATACCGGCGTGTGCCCTGTCACTGGGAATCCCACAACAACTGCCTTATAACCTAGCGCTGCAAGCTGGATTGTCACAAGATCTGAGTTTTCAGTCTAAAACAAATCAATCTTGAAAGTCTCCCTCTAATACGTCCGTCACGTAACAACCAACAGATCGAACCAATGACTGACAGCAGTATTTTTTGGGGCGGAACCAGCAATTGCTGCTTGGAAATTTTGAGCATTTGAGCGAAGTTTACATGGGCAAATCATGGCCTACAATTTTTCATTTTTTTCGTAAAGGTTGTACATTGTACGGCCGTACGCATTGCTAGCCAAAAGCCTGCTTCCAAGCAGTCCCTTACGATTAGATGTAGCATATTTACAACGCATTTTTTGTGATCATCCATCCATCCATCCAATATCTGACACGCTTGTCCATAGTGGGGTCGCGAGGGGTGCTGGTGCCTATCTCCAGCAGTCAGTGGGCGAGAGGCGGGGTACCCCCTGGACAGGTCGCCAGTCAATCGCAGAGTTTTTGTGATCATTTTGTCAGAAAACATTTATCAAGTAGCCCATTTAATTCCAGCTGTGTAGATTATTTGCAAATTTTGAAACAGGGCAATAGTAGGGTGCCAAACCAGATATTTGTTATGTGGTAAAATCAATTATTTTTTCCTGTTCTCCCTCCATAGGTTGTGTTTAACAGTTTAACGCAATGCACCATGGAAGTGGATCGCAAAATATCCAACGACAGCTCCAAAAATCCAAGTCTGTCTCTGGGTCAGAAGCTGAGGAGCAGCAGCAGCAGCTGTCCATGGCAGCTACACAACCACAAGCTACAATTAGTCACCCTCAGTCTCCTGTGACCACCTTTTCCTCCGCCGCCAGCCCTTCAGCCCCTCAGTCACCCAATTATCAGATAATCATGAGTCGGAGCCCAGTCACAGGCCCAAATGTGAACATAACATTGCAAAATGTGGGGCTGACTGCCAATCAACAGATCACTCTGACCCCACTCCCCATCCAGAACCCAGCATCGCCGGGGTTCCAGCATAGCACATCTCAGTGGAGGTTTGAGCATGCTCCTTCCTCCTACATTCAGGTCACCTCACCGGTGCCCCAGCCCATTCAACCCCAGAGTCCCACTCAGCATAGCCCAGTCTCTTTGCAAGGCGTCACAAGGCCAGGGGCTCCTACTGCAGCTTTGGGAGTACGTGGACAGAGCCCTACGCGATTCGTTGAAGCTAGCATGATAGTGCGACAAATCAGTTTAGGCGGCCAATCAGGAGGAGGCCACTTTGTTTACCAGGAGGGAACAGGACTTGCCCAGATCGCCCCAGCATCTGGTCAGGTGCAGCTTGCTTCTCCAGGAGCACCAGGCTGTGTGAGGGAACGCCGGCTCTCTCAGCCTCACTCTCAGACTGGCGGCACCATCCACCACCTAGGACCTCAAAGTCCTGTTGCCACTGGCACAACACTCCCCACCCTGGGCAGCCCCGGACACATCACCACTTCCAGCCTACCTCCGCAGATCAGCAACATCATCCAAGGACAGCTGGGACGGCCCATGGTCTTTGAGAAGACCGCTCAAGGTGTGGTTACAGGAGTAGGAACCACCGCTACAGCGACGTTCAGCATCCCCTCCTCCATTCCACCCTCTTGTCCATCCCTTACTAGTCCCACACAGGGCATCAACAACAGTGCTCTGGCACCCACCGGTATGGCTGCAGCTTCCATAAAGAAGCAGGCTCCCAAGAAGTTGGAAGAAATTCCTCCTGCTACTCCTGAGATCGCTCAGCTGAGAAAGCAGTGCTTGGAGCACCACACCAAGAAGATGGAGAGCCTGAAGGAGATGTTCAAAGAATACATGGTTGAGCTTTTCTTTCTGCAGCATCTTCAGGGGAACATCATGGACTATCACGCTTTTAAGAAGAAACATTGTCATCCCTTAAACACTTACCTGAGGCAGAATGACTTGGATCTCGATGATGACGATGAGGAAGAAGAACAGTCGGAGGTCATTAATGACGAGGTATCATAAGAGCTTGTTTGTAATGTTAGATTTATTCATTGAAGATGCTTTAATGGGGAGGGCAGAGATCAGAACTAGGCAGGTTTTTCCTTTCATTTCCTTCTGTTTGGTCTTTCTTATCTAAAATATCCCATCGTTTTGTTTAACGTATAGACTGGCAGCCTTTACTTTGATGCACTTATTTTTTGTTTATTAGAAATCTGATGCATGTGAAGGAAAATAATTGTGCTTATTAGACAAGATTGCGGTGAAAAGCAGAGGGCGAGGAAGAGTCTGACTGGCAGACCTTTTACTGTTATCGATGTGTGAATTAGACCCATTTACGTTGTGCTCTGTTCAATTCTTTGCCTTTTTAAGGTAAAGGTTGTTACTGGAAAGGATGGCCAAGCAGGGACACCAGTTGCCATAGCAACGCAGCTCCCTCCCAATGTTTCCGCTGCTTTCTCTGTCCAGCAGCAGTTTCAGGTGAAAAAGGAGAGATTTATTTTTGACAAAAACAAACGAATTACTTGGTTATTTTCCTTAACTGTGTTTGAATTTATTTTTCGTCGGGTATGCCCAGCCTAATTACCAAAGACGTTGTTTTGCAGGGACATCAAGGGGCAGCCTCAGGCACCATTACAAACCCTGGAGACATGGATGCCTTTAAGAGGCAACAGACTATGGTGCAAACAGGTAGGGCAGGAGCTGTAGACCCCTGTGTTGCTGATGTTGCTTTGTTTCCCCCCCCTCCCCGTTTGCTTTGTTTTTGTTTGTTTTCTTTTCTCCTTCTAATTGCTTCTGCTTTTAGATATTTGGCATCTTCTTCTAGCGCTCTGTGTTGACGGTTTAAAGGAGGAAAGAGAGGTGACCTGTAAGGTCTTGAGAAGGTCACTGCTCTGTGCCGGGTGCCTTTTTTGCGTTATGAGGGTATTGTGTGTTTTAAATCCCAGATCAGGCTAAGAGGCCCCGGATTGACGTTGGTCGACATGGGCTGATTTTCCAACATCCTGGTGTAGCTCCTTTAGGATCACCTGGCGTTCCGCTTCAGCAGCTAATGCCAACCGCGCAAGGTAGGAATGCTACCACCAGGCCGATGTGTGTTCTGTTCGATGCTGCTGGATCTAAGCCCTTCCTGAGACTAAGGAGATTTTTTTTTTTTAAAAGGGAATCCCAACATTTATCTTCTAAAGCAGCAGCATCAAAATTAATCTGGATTTCTTATCTGGAAGTTCAGGCTTAGCTGTACCAGCACCAGCTGTCTCTGTCAGGATAAAAGGGGAAGAAGACAATCCATTTGTGAAGAAGAGTAGCCACTCAGTGGGAAGATGCCATGTCTTCAGATTTTTTTTCTCCTTTTTTTGGTTTTCTTGTTGATCACCTGATCATATTTCATCCGTTCTTTTCTGAAGTTTGTTCCTATTTGTCATTTTTGTTTGGACAGCCCTTCCCATGCTGACGGATTGTCATCTGTTTTGGAGGTGGATCATTGAAAGTGGGAATCCTTTGGGATTTTTTTTATCACTTTACAATGGGACTTGCGTTTTTTCTCCCCCATTGTAGGAATCCACCTGACACTTTTGGTTTCCCATTGCCATGTGTTTACGATCCGTCTCCCATCGTCCATCTCTGTTTCCTGTAATTTGGATCCAAAGTCATCTTTCATCAGTCTCCAGGATTGTCTTTATCTCATCTTAATTTTTGGTTGGTTTTCTTCCATTCAACTCATGACGTTTTGTTCTGACTTGGCTTCTTTCCCTCAGCCTAATTAAGAGGGGAATAATTTGGAGAAGTTTTGTTCACGGCACAGGTTTTTGCGATTGTGGTGATGTGGGTGTGTCAGGGCCAGGTGTTGATGGCGTCTAGGCAAGGTGATGTCACGTGCAGGGAGGTAAGGCAGGTGCTGCTTTAGTGTGCACAGCTCTGCTCAGGCCTGCTGTCTGCAAAACCCCATGTGTGTCCTTTTGCTCACCTCTGTGCTTTGTCTTTTTGTGAGGCATCCAGATGCCTTGGTTTCTGCACTTACATCGCTTCATGCATGCTAAACATATGCTGTCCTTGTGAGTGTCCGCTCTCTTATTTATTTCCCCTTTCTTTTTGCTGTCTTCTTTTAATTTTTAGAAGTTCTTTTCATGTTTTGTCTATTATTGCATGTATAGTTTATGTTTCTCAGTCCCATTCTCAGCATTTGAAATGCAATGTTTTGGTTTTTGCATTAATCAAAGTAGTGTTTCATTTGAGAGACATGTAGATTTTCATATTGATTTCATTTCTTCTGTAATCATTTTGCTGTATGAGTTTCATTAGTTCTGCTCTGATCATCAGGCAGTAGTACTCTACTGTTAATGAATACATTTAGTTCATTAAGCAGAGGTTTAAAGAGCTCTGAATTCTAAAGTGCACACAGCCGTTTAAAAAAAAAAAAAAAAACCTAAAAGATTTACATTTAGGTTTTAAACACTTGCCTTCTACTCAAGGGTCTCTCAAATAATTTTAAAGGGAAACTACTAAAATACAGGAAAAGGCTTCTGTGAAAACTTTAAAGATGCAAATATTTCCATTGTGGCTTATATTAAACTGTTTTTTCTTTGTTTTGCTCTCTTTACTGCTCCTTTTGTTCTATGATTTGGTTGCCATGTATCCAGGCGGTATGCCACCTACTCCTCAAGCAGTCCAGCTTTCAGGACAGAAGCAGAACCAGCAGCAGTACGACCCATCCAAAGGACCGCCTGTACAGAATGCAGCCAGCCTGCATACCCCTCCTCCTCAGCTACCTGTCAGGTTGCCTCAGGGCGCCCTACCAATGGCAAGCATACCCATGGCCCTCTCTCAGCAGGCCCAGTTAGTGGAGAATTCAACCCATTCGGGTGTGCAACTCCAGGGACAAGTCCAAGTGCAGGGAGGTGGTCCTGTGCTGGCTGCTGTGAACCCCCTCACACAGCTGCAAAACCAGCTGCAGCAGCAGATGCAACCTGGGGTTCACGTTCAGCTGCAACCTCAGCAACAACAGTCCCAGACAATTCTTCAGCCTGGACAAGCGGTCAGTATGCATGGAATCATCATGTCTTATTATTAATTTTCATTAATAATTTCAGACCTTAATTAACATATTTTGGAAGAACGGGACAGATTTCAGCTATTATCACATGGTTCATGTATCTGATATCGTTCTCATAGCCAAATTTACCTCAGAAAAACTTGGTGTGAAAGCTGGACCCAAAACTGGGCTACCATTATCAAATTGTCCAAAATTGTATGAATTGTCTAAGTGTTTCACATTTTTCATAATTTTTCATCTTCCATAGACGGTTGCACTTGCTCGGCCTGGTACTGATCCAAACCAGTCTGTTCAGAGGATTATGACCAACTCGGTATCAATAACATCTGTGGTTCCCGCCCCTGCACCTGCTACCAATTCGAATCCAGCTCCACACTCAGCAGGTTCGCTCCGTCCTCTTGGCTCCAGCATCAACCCAGGAACCCCATCTAAACTGACAGGAACCAACGGAATATCTGCTGTCAAGACCGGAGCTTTCAGCCAAAATCCAAGCGGTCAGTGCCCACAAGAAGGTTCCCAGGATAAGCAGGTTGAGCAGGCCAAACTGGTGAGTTTATGGTTTTATAAAGATGTAGGTAATGAAAAGTCTTGCTTGTTTTATACTAGGGATGCACGATATAATCGGCCCCCTATCGTTATCGGCCTGTATCGGCCTTAAAACTGAATATCGGACATCGGCCACCCCACCAATATTTAACCCGATATTTGATCAGCTTCTGAGTTTCTAAAGTCTAAAAAAATAAATAAATACTTCTTCTTCCTCAAAAACTTCTTTTTTACAGACTTAAAAACTTCTAAAGACGAGGGAAAAAATATTGATACATTAAAATATGACAATATCTTCATATGCTGATATATTGCCATGTAAAAACACCATATCAATCTCTTTTACTAATGAAATATTGCTATATGTCATCGTTATGCTACGAAATCCCCCGAAAATTCACGACATTTTTATATGTTGATATATTGACGCGGTATCGATCTATTTTACTAACAAAATCTCACAAGAATTTGCAAAATATCACGAGAGTTTGAAACAGAACGATGAAATTTCACGAGATTTCGAAAGTAAACTAGATCAATACCACGTTTTTAAAAATCAATTTGATATCAGCATATGAAAATATATTTGAGTATATTATTTTTAAAGTGTCAGAAATGAATAATAAAACTGCTATTTTCAATGACTACTTATTTTTGTCCAGCTTTAACATCGGTATCAATATCGGTTATCAGCTACATGACTTTTAAAATATCGGCATATCGGCATATCGGATATCAGCCAAAATCCCAATATCGTGCATCCCTATTTTATACGCATAGGGTTTGGCTGTTAGCAGAAGTGTAGCACATTAAACTACAATCTTTTTTTTTCTGTTTTTTTCTGTTAATTTGACCGTGTAATAAAAAAACAAGAGCTAAAATAATAATTGAAATAATCGTAGTCATTGGATTATTGAAATATTTTCAATAATAATATATAACAGGAATTCACAGACTCTAAAACATCCCATTTTCTGAAAGAATACCCAACCAGTTTTGACTTAACCAGCAGTTAAGTCAAGACTGTACAAAAATTAAAAAAAGCTCTATATTTAAGGTAAAAAATCTTCCTTGTCAGTTAGCATCGCCTCGATCCAACTCTGTTCAAAAATACATATTTTTTTCGGTTGATTACTGATCAGGTAATTGAAAAAGTAGTCAATAAATAAACAAAATAGCAAAATTAATTTAAAATGTGACATAAAAGTTGCTGTTTCTTGAGGAGCATCAATTTACTAACAGTGTCTCTGTTTAGATTATCAAAAAATGATTGATTGCTAAATTAATAGACAGCTGCAGTCCTAGTTTATGTGATGATTATGTGGTCCTCTCTGTACTACAGGAGAGTCAGGTGCACCAGCGCATCTCTGATCTCAGGAAAGAGGGTCAGTGGTCATCCAGCAGGCTCCCTAAACTAGTGGAAGCTTCACGCCCAAAGTCCCACTGGGATTACCTTCTGGAGGAGATGCAGTGGATGGCTGCAGACTTTGCTCAGGAGAGAAGATGGAAGGAAGCTGCTGCAAAGAAGGTTTGGCACCGAACAGATTTTGAGGAATTTGCAGAAAAAATGAGGGTAACGGCAGTAGAAAATGTCTCTCTGAACCCGTTCTTTGTGCCTTTGTTACAGCTTGTTCGTACTTGTGCTCGTTACCACCAAGAGAAGAAGAACAGTGAAGAAAGATCACAGGAACAAAGGGAAGTTCATCTTCGTCATATTGCCAGTACAATTGCTCGAGAAGTTGAATTCTTCTGGTCAAACATAGAGCAGGTAAGGGTTTATTTGGCCACTCTTTCCTATTATTTATGCATAGTGGTGTTTTTTTTAACACAGTTTTACTCCGAAGGTTGTGGAAATTAAACTCCAGTTTCAAATCAACGAGAAGAGGTTCAAAGCACTTGGCTTACAAAAAGCAGCAGGTAGGTCCCATTTAATAAACTAATAAGCTCAATATTACATGATCGTAATACAAAGGAAATAATTGATCAGATAAAAAGCTTTAAATTATTCCTTTTACAATATAACTTTATCTCAGAATTTTCCAAAATATCTCACCTTTAACTATGTAGTAAACTGGCTTCTGACTTCCATTCCAGTATCTGGTCAGTCATCAGGGGAAAAAGTTGATAGAACGGTAAGTGCTGCCCTGACTCTTAATTATCATATATCTCTTCTTGGAAAAACTTCTTAGTTTTACATTTATGCTTTTCTTTTCCCACTTTATAGGAGGGTGGTAACTCTGGCAGAAAGAGAAAAACAAGTTTTTCCACAGTAGATGAAGAGGGTATGTTTTTAGTGTTACATGGAAAAAATAAATAAATAAAAGCAGGACATTTATAGATTACTCAAAGACTAAATTCTTTTAGTTCCTGACGAAGAGGGCACCATAGAGGAGCAGGAAGTCATGGAAGGAGACTCGGACCACAAAGCAGAATTGATCGACCTTGCAAAAGATGGTATGTGATTATAGTTTGTTTGTTCTTCCTAAGAAAATAAACACATTTCTAAAATTGTCTTTTCAATATCATGAGAGAGATTAAGACCCATTGTCACTCAAAATATTGATAATACTTTCAAGCAGATATTCTTCTATACACTTAGATGGATTGTAACAAAACTAATGATCAACAGTTTGAATTAGGGATCAAATGTTCTGCTTTTGGCTCGGATGTGGATCACTGTTGATACATTTACAATCTAGAAAAAAACTTTAGTGAAATATTAATAGTTTTATGGATAAATATTATTTAATTTTTTTCATTTATCAATAAAAACAGTTTTCTCTTCCTAATTAATACATACTAGTCGTTTCCTGGGAAAAAAATTATTGGTTTACTGTAGGGCCGCAACTAAGGATAATAGTTTAATCCGTCCCAATTTTTTTTTGATTAATAATTGTATAGCCAAAGGTTCCTTAAAGAAGATTTTACGAAATCAAACAAGGTGAAACTAAAACCTATCCACTTGAGGAGGCTGGAAAGAGCATATTGACAGACGAAAAAGATTTATTTTTATCTTAAATGCAAAATATTCATACTTTTTTTTCAATATATATATATATAATTTTGGCTAAAGGCATGTTTTAAACTCCCCATACTCCAGTTAACAATTAATCCATTATTAAATTAGCTGATGATTGTTTCAATAATCGATTAACCACGATTAATCTTTACTTAGAAGATTTATTAGACAGTATTGTCAGACATTAGATCCTTTAATGTATTGTGTTGGCTAGAGTTGTTCACTAATGTACTTTCCTAAATATGTTTAAAAAAGATACGGTATGGTACGTTATGCTGCTATAAAATTACAGCTCATATAATTTCTTTTACATATGATATAGAAACTGATATATTTGCTAATGTATAGTTCTTGTCACACCGTTTTCCCTAAACTTAAAAAAGGCGTAAATAACCTGGAAGAGGGTAACTGGCAACTTCTTTTTTTTCTAAATCATTCTTGGTAAATTTAGATTGTTAATTTTCAAAGAAAAGAAGAATAACTGCTGTTTACAAGCAATTAATCTTTTTCCAGACAAGTTCATTAAATGCATCATCATAACTTATTATTTTAAAGTAATTTAATTGAATTAATATACATTCTTAAATCACGAGCAAAAGTAAAATAGTCCGTTTTAAACTCTTAAATATTAGTTTCAGTACCTCTAGAGCAAAGTCAACCTCTGGACTACTGCTGCTAAAATAAAGCAACTAGTCCCGTGCGAGTATGAAATCATGGCTGCAGGAGTCACTGGGATGTTTCAGGCCAAACAAGAAGCTTCCTTGTTTTCTTCTTCCTTTTCTAATCTTATTTCTTTATTCCATCCTAAAAAAAAACATGATAAACATTGTAATCGATAAACATTGTAATCATTCAACTGCAGGCCAAGACTTATTGCGATCTTAAAAAAAGTGTTCACTTCTTGCATATACAGGTGCTGGTCATAAAATTAGAATATCATGAAAAAGTAGATTGATTTCAGTAATTCCATTTAAAAAGTGAAACTTGTATATTATATTCATACATTACATACAAACTCATATATTTCAGATGTTTATTTTGTTTAATTTTGATGATTACAAATGACAACAAATGAAAATCTCAAATTCATCATATCAGAAAATTAGAATATTGTGAAAAGGTTCAAAATTGATGGCCCCTGGTGCCACACTCTAATCAGCTAATTAACTCAAACCACCTGCAAAAGCCTTTAAATGGTCTTTCAGTCTAGTTCTATAGGCTACACAATCATGGGGAAGACTGCTGACTTGACAGTTGTCCAAAAGACGACCATTGACACCTTGCACAAGGAGGGCAAGACACAAAAGGTCATCGCTAAAGAGGCTGGCTGTTCACAGAGCTCAGTGTCCAAGCACATTAATAGAGAGGCGAAGGGAAGGAAAAGATGTGGTCGAAAAAAGTGTACAAGCAAGAGAGATAACCGCACCCTGGAGAGGATTGTGAAACAAAACCCATTCAAAAATGTGGGGGAGATTCACAAAGAGTGGACTGCAGCTGGAGTGAGTGCTTCAAGAACCACCACACACAGACGTATGAAAGACATGGGTTTCTGCTGTCGCATTCCTTGTGTCAAGCCACTCTTGAACCACAGACAGCGTCAGAAGCGTCTTGCCTGGGCTAAAGAGAAACAGGACTGGACTGCTGGTGAGTGGTCCAAAGTCATGTTCTCTGATGAAAGTAAATTTTGCATTTCCTTTGGAAATCAAGGTCCCAGAGTCTGGAGGAAAAGAAGAGAGGCACTTCATCCACGTTGCTTGAAGTCCAGTGTAAAGTTTCCACAGTCAGTGATGGTTTGGGGTGCCATGTCATCTGCTGGTGTTGGTCCATTGTGTTTTCTGAGGTCCAGGGTCAACGCAGCCACATACCAGGAAGTTTTAGAGCACTTCATGCTTCCTGCAGCTGACCAACTTTTTGGAGATGCAGATTTCATTTTCCAACAGGACTTGGCACCTGCACACAGTGCCAAAGCTACCAGTACCTGGTTGAAGGACCATGGTATCCCTGTTCTTAATTGGCCAGCAAACTCTCCTGACCTTAACCCCATAGAAAATCTATGGGGTATTGTGAAGAAGAAGATGCAATACACCAGACCCAACAATTCAGAAGAGCTAAAAGCCACTATTAGAGCAACCTGGGCTATCATAACACCTGAGCAGTGCCACAGACTGATCGACTCCATGCCACGCCGCATTGCTGCAGTAATACAGGCCAAAGGAGGCCCAACTAAATACTGAGTGCTGTACATGCTCATACTTTTCATGTTCATACTTTTCAGTTGGCCAACATTTCTATAAATCCTTTGTTTTTATTGGTCTTCAGTAATATTCTAATTTTCTGATATGATGAATTTGGGATTTTCATTTGTTGTCATTTGTAATCATCAAAATTAAACAAAATAAACATCTGAAATATATGAGTTTGTATGTAATGTATGAATATAATATACAAGTTTCACTTTTTAAATGGAATTACTGAAATCAATCTACTTTTTCATGATATTCTAATTTTATGACCAGCACCTGTAAACCAAAGTAGTAGCCCACATGCCATTATTTATATCTCTTGTTGCTCATATGTTTATCATGCTATGCATATTCTGGCTAATTGTTTCGGTTTCTTTTTCTTTTCTTTTTTTACTTGTTTAAGCTGAGATGTCTTTGGATGCTCTGAAGAAGCAGTACGCTGGTGCCTATGCTGAGGATTTTGAGTGGCCTCAGCCTAGTCCTCAGAGTGATGAGGATGATGGGGAAGAGACTGAAGGTGCTTTGTATTTCAAATCATTAAAAGCGAATTCAGTGTCTTTTTGTTTATGCTCTCAGCACCAAGTGGCGACACTTTTGACCATTTGTTCCCATTATTTAACAGACATGGACTGTGTACCATGCAGTCCACCTGAAGCAGTGGTGCTGGACTCCGTGTTTAGCATGGACCACCAACGGAGCGCAGATAAATCCTCGTCTAACTCTAATGGGAAGGCTGGCAGAGACATTGCTGAAGTGGCAGCTGCTACAGAGCTCCTGCTGCCCAAGGGCAGCCTCAGAATCACTTCATCTGTAAGAAACAGAAATGACTTTACACAATTAAAAAGAGTTTTGATCATTTTAAATGATATAAGTGTCCCGTTCCTCCAGACCCGCAGCCCAGCTCCTATTTTGTTACATGGTTTGTTAAGAGAGTATCAGCAGATTGGTGTGGACTGGCTGCTTAACCTTTATAAGAAACGGCTCAATGCGATCTTAGCCGATGAGACGGGCCTTGGCAAGACTGTGCAGACAGTGGCTTACCTAGCCCACTTAGCTGGTCAAGAAGGTATTTCACAGATCAAAATACATTGTTGTTTTTCTATTTAATTTCACGTTTACATTTTAAACTTATTTTTCAACACAGGTATTTGGGGACCCCATCTAATTGTAGTAAGGACATGCAAGTTGCTAAGTTGGGAGCTTGAGTTTAAGCGCTGGTGTCCGGGCCTTAAGATTCTCCTTTATTTAGGCAACAGAAGGGAGCGCAGATGCAAGAGAATGGTTGGTGGTTTTTGTCTGACATTTTTCATTGTCCTGACTTTTTTTTTTTTTTTGATTGCTCATGTGGTGACATGTTATTTTCATATTTCTCTGCAGTTCTGGGAGGAAACCAACAGCTTTCATGTTTGTGTGACGTCATACAAGCTGCTGATGAAAGACCAAAAACATTTCCTAAAGAAAAGGTGGAGGCATCTGGTTCTGGATGAGGTGCAACTTATCAAAAACATGATGGAAAAACACTGGGAAACTGTCTTTGGTCTCAGAAGGTGAGTTTATAAAAAAAAAAAAAGTTATTCCAAAAAGTTAAAGTGAAAAAAACAATCCACTGGACTTTATTTTTTCAAGTTTGAGGATGTTTTGCTTCCCATCTAGAAAGCTTTCTCAATTAAAAATGTCTGGATAAGCATTGGGTTCCAGGCTATTATAGAATAGACCAACAAAAGCCTTGTAATGGCTTAGGAAACATGCACATTGAAGCTGGAAAACCAGCTCCACCCATTAATAATAAGAGTTGTTGAGGTCGTTATTGGCCTGCAATACCCGATACTGGCCCATTCCTCTAAAAAGGCAGTCGTTAAAGGTCATTGTTGGCCTCGCTGACCTGGCGAGATATTTTATTCCCATGCATAGCAATGGAGGTTGAGATGGTGTTGGGAAGGAAACGACTGTATCTCTGCGTTGTAGGTTTTTGATAGCTGAAACCTGAGTCCACCCTGTCTGTTTACGGTTGGTTTTCTTTTTTAACATAAATGGCTTCCTTCACACCCCTTTCGAAACACCTGCCTTCTTTATCTAAAATGTGAACATTCTGGTCCTTTGTTGGGCTACTCTATAAAAGCCTCAACTCAACGCTAATCCAGACATTTTGAATTTTCATGGATGGGAAGCAAACCTCTTCAAACTCGGAAAATAAAGTCCAGTGGTTTATTTTTTAACTTTATGGAATGACTATGACCTGGATGACTGAAAACCAGCAATGAAAAAAAAATGGTTTCACAGTAATTTGTTTTTTTAATGGAAACAACACAAGCAATGCTTATAAGAGATTTTTATGATGATGCAAATGTTTGATTAGATTTCTAAAAATTGTCTGTCAAATATCATCACTGACTGATTTCTGTGGGTCTTCCAGTGAGCAAAGGATCCTTCTTATCCACACTCCGCTTCAGAATAATCTGAAGGAATTTTGGACCACGATCCACTTCCTGATGCCAGGACTCACCAGGCCGTACTCAGACTTTCCTGTTGCGGCAGACACAGACCAGAACCAGGACTACTGCCATAAGCTGGTTATACGCCTGCACAGGGTGCGTTTGGTCTCTACATGTTTAAAATGCATAAGGATATGCTAGATAAGGTAACCTTGTTTGTGCCGCCCTGCAGATGATCCAGCCGTTCATTTTGCGACGCTCTAAAAGGGATGTGGAGAAACAGCTTCCAAAGAAGTACGAGCACATTCTGAAGTGCCGGCTTTCAAATAGACAGAAGACGCTTTATGAGGATATCCTTACGCAGCCTGGGTGAGATATCTGATCAAATAATCACCTTTTATGTATTTATTCAACCTGGGCTCAACAAATATTCTCCAGTCTATATAATTGCTAAGACATCTAAATCTTGATTTAAATCTTATCTGGTTGCAGACTTTTTTTTTTGGTAATAATTTTCAATAATGTTTTCAATTTTCTTCCAGGACACAAGAGGCTCTGAAGTCGGGTCATTTTGTCAGCGTGCTTCAGGTTTTGATGCAGTTGCAGCGCGTGTGCAATCATCCTGAGTTGGTTGTACCTCGAGAAACCAGCAGCTCCTACTTCTGTCCATCTGTTGAGTACAATGTGCCGTCACTGGTTCTAGGAGCTATTGAGACCGACCCCAGCAAGGTAGTTCCACATACCCAAACTCCATGGATTATTGTCAGAAAATATATCTTTAAGATCTATGGGATTTATTTATTGAACTCTTGTCAATCTAAACATATTTCTCGGTTAGAATCTTATCCATTAAAAGAAGAGAGGCCGTACCATCCGTTATTGATAATGCTTTGTCAATTTTCAAACATTGTCTTTTATATTTTCCCCTTCATTTTGTTAAGGTTTGATTTTCACTCTTAAAAATTAAATCAATATGTTGGTAACTTTTCATGTTTTAATCTTCTGTTTTCCTAGACTGTAAACCTGTCCATGTTTGATCTGATCAATCATGAGAACCAACTGACTCGGTACCAGACTGAAGAAGCAGAACCTAAACTAAAGGTCACTCGGCAGCTCATTGAGGAGATCTACAGTGGTCCCGAGCAACCACCAAGACCCAAACCGTGTCCGATTAAACCATCAAGGTCAGTGCTAAAATTTCCCACTTTTACATATGAGGATATTTGTCGTTTTCTTGAATTGTAGCGGTCTCACTCTGATTTTGATGATTTGAACTGGTCAGGCTGTTCCAGCCAGTGCAGTATGGTACAAAGCCAGAAGGTCGGTTAGTCGCATTTGGAAATACGGCGGGTCAGCGGCCCCCTACAAGCACCTTAGTTTCCACTGTGAGCCAATCAGGCCAGACCAGAGGCAAGTCCCCCGTTTCTGCTCCGACCACTACGCCTACCTCTCACGGTAAGATTTTTTAGAAGGAGTCTGTTAAATAAAAGGGAATCCCCATCTTCGGGACTTCTGGTTATCAGCTATGATTTCTTATGATTATTGCTTTTACCCTAATTGCAATCCAAACTTTTTCTGCGTGTGATAAATTATGCCGTGTCTCTGTGCTGCATGATTGAAATGCCTTTTTAAATCCAAACTACCTTAATTACTACGTCATGCATTTAAACTTACACCATAAATATATTTTTACAAACATTTGCAGAGTTTTTGCCAGATTTTTAAAATCAAGGCTTAATGTCAACTCTTTTTGAAGTTTCATGATAAATACACAAATTGCATGATTTGCTTTCAAAAACTACCCGTTTTTACAATCCTTCCAATTAGGAGGTGACATAGATTTAAAGGGCAATGAAATTATATATGTTGTTGTAACAATCATGTTTCACAACACAGAGCTTAGAGATTAAGGAAAAAAAAAAATTAAGGAAAAGATTAAGTTTTGTTCTATTTCTGGAGAATAAAAACTGAAGCCCTAACTGACAGTTTTATCAGACTATTTTACAATCATGGCTGATAAGGTACTACGGAGATGGTTCAGTTTTTACGTCAGTTAAAACAACCCACTGGATTTTGTCTCCAAGTTTGAAGATGTTTCGCTTCCCACCCAGGAAGCAGAATTAGCAATAAGCTTGAGTCTTTATAGAGCGGCCCAAAACAAAAGCTTTGTTTTGTTTTTTTAAGTTAGGTTTTTTAAAAGGTGTAAGTATTTTATATTCTTCCTGCCATAAATAACTCTTGCATCCTCAACAAGATTAAATCCAGGTTAGAGGGTCCTGGAGGCTCAGGTTTCAAGAAGGGCTAAGACCAAAGTGGACTTCTAGCATCTCAAAACATCTCAAATTGAACAACAAATGTCAACAGTTTATAGTTATTAGTATTTTAAAATGATTCAAAATCAGAATCCAATTGGTATTTACATGGAAAATGGAGGTAGCAGGCCAAAGCATTTTCTAACCAATTTAACTATTTGATATAGTAAATTGTTGTAAAGAAACAAAATTATTGCAGTTTAACTTAATTATATTTTATGAACTTTTACTATCTTTAGTTTTTTTAGTTTATTTGTTACTCTAAATCGATTCCATTTCACATGTAAATCATTTTTGTATTCTGTCTATTTAACCTAACTTTATTGTAAACATACCAATAATTTAAACACTCATTGACTTCATACAAGCTTGTATGATGTTTCTTAGACTGGTGTTGTCAGACTAGAAGTCCCCTTTGGGCTAGTCGTTACCGTGACCTTATGGATCCATTAAATCTGCATCTATACTGCTTTAAAAAATCCTCAGAGTGATCTAGTTAAATGATTTACTGTTTATAACCTTTTAGCAGAACCTCACTGTGTTTTTAAAATCCAGATTTTCCTGCAGCAGTGGTGGGTCGACGATGCAGCTTTTTCAAGTCTGTTGAGCTGACTAAACAAGCACTGAAGCAGGTTCAGCGTCTTATCCTCATATTCGATCTTCAGTTCATGGCTATAGAAGTTATAAAAGATCTCTTTTAACTGGAATATTTTCCAAAGCGGGAAAGTAAAAAAAATATGTACATATACGATTGCATATACTTTTCTCTTAATAGTTGTCCTGAAAAGAATATTTGGAGTACGTGCTCAGCCCAATGCAATAGAATACCCACAAACACCCCCCCCCCACCCACCCCCGATCCCATCTGTACTGCCCTAGCAACAGACATACACTATATTGCAAACTGCTAAAAAAGTGCTATAGAACTGCTATGTGTCATTGCTCGCTTGCGATAACATATTGCCAGTAAAACAATCGGTTTCCTTTTAAGCAACTTTGTTTAGAATTAAAGGGATGCTTTGATAAAGCTGATTTATACTTCGAAACTAGGTCGTCTGCGTAGGTGTCACAGTGAACAAAAAGACGTCCCCGCCCCCTCCGTAGACACCCTGCTGCACATCTCCCAAATTGTAGCTGGCCGCAGACAGGAGGCCGGCTTGTTTTCTTTTTATGACCGCAATTGCGGAAAACAACTCGTGAAGTTGAACCAGCTAGAAGAGCGAGTCCGCGAGAACGCTGGGACCCTTTTTCCACCTAGATCCCTGCTCTTTTTTGCCCTCATGTCCCTCAGCTGTCGCACAAACTTGCCCCCACTTCCTCTCCGCCTTGGCTGTGTCTAGACCCACAGCATATACTACAGACCAAGCTAAAATTGAGCACAAATCAAAAATGTCTGCGTCTAGCTCACAGCGACACACTGCTGCGGGGAGTATAACCGGCCCTTTAGGTTGAAGTTTAAGGCTTTAAATATAGAGAGGTATTAAATATTGTCCCCACTGATCATTAGCACCAGCTCTCCCACTGCTTCCTGTGTTGGCCCACCACTGCTGAGTAAATATAGGAACTAAAATCTTTGCTCTGATTTAATTAAATGTTGGGTTAGCCCTAACATGGAGTCCCACACCCCATTGCCTTGTATTTCGCAGCAATCGGAACAGCTACTCAGAGAGCCCAGGCTACTCCTACTGTCAGCAGCAGCAACAACACTGCATCTTCCTCCATTGCCGCCTTTGGGAACAGTGGCTATGGGCAGCATGTTTTGGGAGCTACTCCTTTGGCCTTGGGTCAGACCTTAGCTGGAACAGTTGTAGGCTCCGTGACTTCCATCAGCCAGGCTGGAATAACACAGATTCCAAGGCCAGGTTTAGCCCCAAGCCATGCCATCCAGCCCAGTCTTTTGTCCCAGAGGTTGGTTCTTACATCTCAGGCCCAGGCACGGTTGCCTAGTAAGTGGCCTGCCCTCCCCTTCATCTCTGCATTTTCCCTCCACCCTCAAGCACAAACATTTTGGCTGCTGTGCACCAAGGCCTTTACCTGAGGCACTGCTGATATACAGTATGTTCACTTCAGAGAACATGGCTCAGTGTATGCATGATGGCGGCAGCGCTGCTGCTGCAGACATTGCTGTCAGATGTCATACATCATCAATCGATGGAAGAGATGTCTCTGTACAGCTGTAGCCATATCAGCAGCATCTCATTGTCTTGGCATATCCAGTTTCTTTCTTCACACCTGCATGCACACTTGGTCTCACTCTTCTTGATTTAAAAGAACTTTTTAGGATTTTTCAGTCTGGTCCATATTTTTCCTTTAAAATAGTTTACAGTAACACACAGTCACAAGAATCTTTGCATTAGGACTCCTACTGGACGACAGTTCTGCAATGACTTTAACCCCTTGCTCACACTGGCTCCGCTGCGGTTACCGAGCCGACGGAGACCGCAACTCCCGCACACCCCCTCTCACACCGCCCTTTTGACTGCGGTGCGATGCGGCTCTGCGGCTCCGGCAACAGGTCCGGAGATTTACCAGAAGTTCACTTGAGTTCACGTAACTTCACGCGATAACACGGCCCAAATAAAGATATTTAATTTAGTAAGGGTATTTGCGAGAGCTTGTTGCGGAGGGCTCCGGCACGCCGCAAGGATAGCTTTCTTGCGGAATTTTCTGCAGCGCCGGAGTGTCTCGGTAACCGCAGCCGGTGGGAGAGGTTTACGTCTTTTTAATGACTTGGAATCACTGCGGCGCCGCACCCACCGCACCGCAACGGTAAGACCGGAGTCGGTGTGAGCCTGGGGTAAACATTATGCACATTAGAGATGAAGTTTCTAAGTTTGGGACGAGAAATATTTCACCGCCTTTATATGTATTTAGGTCAAGCTATTGCAGAAATAAACAGACATGGTCTGCATAATATATTATAATAGCAGTATTCTCCTATGCAGACTGAATGGATTTCAGTAGATGGTCACAACAAATGACAATAACAGAACCAGAAGGCGTCAGAATTTAATGCATTATATAATTAGATATTTAACACTACCTTCAACATTGCAGGATTTGTTTTAATATTATGTTCCCATGTTGGAGATCAGACATGAAAAACAAAGAGAGAATATACTGATGCTGGCTTACAGCTCAATTTGTAGAAGACTACGAAACTAAACTAATGTAGTCTTCTTTATCTATTAAAAAAAAAACATTTGATCGTGACAAAAGTAGATCAAGCATCCATCCTAATAGGGTTTTGGTAGTCCTATTTAAAACAGAAAGTCCAAGTTTAAAATATTTTTTTCTGCGCTGGGTGGTGCTAACTGGCCTAGCCACATTAGGCCCTTTGCACAAGTGTAGCTTTGTTCCTCATTTGTTAGATAGTGGATATACACTCATGGCTTTATTTACAAAAAAAAACAAAATGGCAAAAAACAAAACACAAAAGATAACAAATAACACACAAGCAGGATGTGGTCAACTTTCAGAAAAACGTAGTATACAACCAGAGGAAGCTACTGGCGTATATAAAAAAAAAAAAGTCAAATAACCTGACTCTGCACCTTTAATACAGTCTCTCTTGGTTTTCTGAAGTGTGTTGCTGTCTATATTACAGATGACCAATAGAAAAGTATAGAATTCATTGTTCAACAGTAGTGAAAATTCTCTGTCGTACTCGGATCGAATGAAGAATGATCCAGATAAATAGACAACAGCCAATTATAGAATAACAACAATTAAAGAATAGCTTATTAAAGCTTTTCATGTGCAGCTGAAGATTCTCAGTCATATCGGTCAAAGTCATTCCAAAAAGGTTAAACAACCGACTGGACTTTGTTTCCAAGTTTGAAGAGGTTTCTCTTCCCATCCAGGAAGCTTTTTTAATTCAAAATGTCAGAAATAGCGTTGAGTTCGAGGCTTTATAGATTGGACCAAAAACAAAGCCTTGTTATGGCTTAGAAACAAAGCAATGTGCGCACTTTACTTGTACACATTCTGCCAAACAAAAAAACCTTAGTTTATAATTAAAAGCTTTTTATACTAAAGTCTGAGTGCCTTCTTGTTGTTTTTAGTTCCTGCTATATGCGATTCTGTCATTAAGTACTTTCTCTGTATGAGTCCAAAACTATTTGAGATCCCATCCATCAATATTTTAAAAACAAAAAACCAGGAAAAATATGACTCGAGTAGAAAGGTCCAGAAAACGCTTCATTTAATTTCTCATGTTCTCCTTCCCTTATAATACTTTCTCCCCGGTTTACTACTCTCCGTTAGTTTAGTGCATCAGCCAAGCTGTCAGGAGATAACCCACAGCTTTCACTGTTTGTTTTTTATTTGTTTTTTCCCTCCCCTCCATTCTTCTCCTCTGATCTTGACTTTATAGCGAAGCATGTTGGAGCGTCCCTGTTGGTTATCACTCTTCTTCGCTTTGAATTGTGAACTTTTTCAGTTAACACACGGTCTTTGTACAGTATATTGTGATAACTGTGTGATTGTTTAAAATCTTCAGGATGTTGGATATTTAAGCTTCCAAGTCAAAATATTTAAAGGATACTTGTCCCCACAGAGGTGGTCCGATAAAATTTAGGGTAGAATCCAAATGATGTGTGCAATATAAACATATTTGGACCTAAAATACACATTAAGTCTGAATATGTTGCAGCCTGTGTCTTTACCCTGTCCGCTTCATTCAGAAATACTCTGTTCTTACCAACTAAAGTCATTCACACCAGAAATCATGGTCAGCGTTTTCCAGAGATACACAGTATTGTCCATTTATTTATTATTCAGGGTCTGTAAGGTTTTGACCCCACTCCTCATGTTACTGGGAGTAAAAGGACATAAAGCAGTTGTGGGTTCTTATTACTGCCTCCTCCTGGTGTGAAGGTGCCATGCAGCTATTCTCTATTCCCAGGTAAAACTGGGGCTTTAAATCCCAGGCTTTGAGTGGAAAAGGGTCGCTAGTCTGTTTAAGGGAGTGGTGGCCTAGTGGTTAGGGCATAGAGCTTGGAATCCTGAGGTTTTGAGTTTGAAACCCACTACCACAGAGACCCTTAACCCCCGTTTGATTCCCAGGTGCTCCACGATGGCAGCCCACTACTCCCCAAAGTGATGGGTTATAGAGTTAATTTTTCAATAAAGTTCAAATATTATGATTCATTTTTCTATCTTAGAAATATTTATATTTAAAAAATGGTTCTCTTTTGGGACTTTTCCATAAACAGTGACATAGGTTGAGCACAGGGGAAATGATGGATACGAAGGCCAATGTGCTGTCAGCTTGGAAATTATATATTCAATTGAATTATTTGTTTGAAGGAAATTATATTCTTTTTGAGTTTTTGCGGCACTAGTGGTACATTTTTCGACAGTGGACTGACAGGAAAGGGGGTATGAGAGAGGGGGTCTCATACCCGGGTCGGCCACGCCGAGGACTAAGGCCTCCGTACATGGCTAGTGCGCACTAACCGCTGCGCCACCTGCACTCCCAAGGAAGTTGTTTTCAAACAAAATTGGTCTATAGGTAATTGTAAGAATGAAAAGCCCATCATTTTTTAACTAGTGTCCATCAGCAACACATACACCAGAACATCTAATGTTATTGTCGCTACAGAGTTCCTTATAATGATTTACTGAGACAATCTGCACCTCAGATCTATTGTTTTTGCTTCCAAGGTGAACAGTTTACAAAGTGCAGTTTTTGTTTTGTTTTAATGTTTTAGTGTGTTGTGTGAAATGTAGAATAGCATAAAATAATATCATGTAGATGAAGGGAAGCTTTAGGCTTGATCCAGTTTAATTTGAAATCCCAGATTTGTTGAACTGCAGAGAATTCACTCTTTAATTTGTCTTGGTTATGCCTTTGATTCATTAGAACATTTCGTGTGTATCCTAATCAGAAATGAATAAAATTATGGGGTTAATTCTCATTGGTACTGAGCACATTCATATTCACCATTTTAGTAGTTTTATTGAAGAGAAACTTTTTCTTTATTATAGATGGTGGTGAAGTGTGTGTTGTCTTGAAAAAGTGTTTTATGTTTTCTGACATTTCCCCCCCTTAATCCTTTTTTATTAAACTCTGCTTTGTTTCCGTTGTTGAGAGGAAATGTTTTCCCGTTTAATTAATTCACCTTTGTTCTGCATGTCTTGTCTCCTTCTCACCCTGCAACTAACTAAATACATTGTTTTGTATTTCTGACTGTAAAATATAGTTTTTATCTGCCTTACTATTTGATCTTCCTATCCAATGAAGGCGGAGATGTGGTGAAGATCGGCCAGCTGGCCAACATGTCAGGGAGTCAGAATCGTATTTCCCAGCCGGAGACTCCCGTCACGCTGCAGTTTCAGGGGAACAAGTTCACCCTGTCCCCCAGCCAGCTCCGCCAGCTGACCACTGGACAGCCATTGCAGCTCCAAGGTACACTCGGTAATGTACATCCCATTCTCATATCTCTATTCTCTCTTTTTATTTGATCTTTAACATCCATGTTTGCCATCCTAATTTTATACACTCATTATTTATTTTTTGTTTTATATTGCTTTTTATTACACATTAAAACCTTTACAATTTGCCATAAATATCTCGGTAAACTGATACTTTAGTATTTCTGTTTGTATTCAGCTTTGGTTAATAATTTAACTTAAGCTGTTCTTTGCTGTTGCATATTTAAAAATAAATACAGAAATGAATAAATGCTCAATAAATAAATAAACATACAATTAATTCCCCCCCAAAAATGCAATAAACAAATAAATGTAGGTAGAAATTAAATTATACAGTGAGGAATAAATGTAAATATATCTTTTAATTAGCTTCTTTATTTATTCGCCTGTGTGATAATTACCTTATTTGTTTATTGTCTGTTATAACTTTCAATTAATTATTTTTTAAGTATTTCTTTATGTTCATGTTATAATATTTTTGGAATATTTTGTCATTTATTTCTTCCTGTCGTTTTTACATTTCTGCATGTATATGAGGAAGGGCTGTGTCATAGAGGGTAAACTTCTTCCCATGGTTGGCAGCCCATCTTCTCAAAGGGGAACGCCGTTTTTTTTTTACATTTGTCCCTTGATTTTACGTTATTGCATTATGTTCTACTCACCCATATGAGTTCTGTGTCATTTGGAGCCGTTCTGACGATATTCCGTGAGGTTATATCCAAGTAACGTCTTCCTTGATTTTACCTGTATGACGTCATCCGCACGCGCCGGCTACCGCTCATTCATCCTGACCACTGAACTGCTGCTAGTTTTCCTCACATGCCTGGAAGATGTCTAGTGCTACTATCACAGATGATCTCACTCTCGAAATGGAATTGAACGATTCAGATTAGCTAGCCCAATGAATAGAAGTGGTAGAGCGTAGCCGCCTGTGGCCCGGGCTTCTTCTTACAACTCCAGTCTGCATGCGCAGATGACATCATAGACGCGCCACTTTGTTTTTAAAACATATAAATATGAAAAATATAACCGCGGATGTCTGGGGGACAGGGATTCGCCTACATGTTATGAATGCTGGCAGACAATAAATGATAATTTATGAACAGTTTAGTTTGTGCCTTCAAGTCGTTGCCCATAGGAAGACGTTACTTGGATATAACAGAATATCTTCAGAACGGCTCCAAATGACACAAAACTTATTTGGGTGAGTAGAACATGATGTAATAACATAAAATTAAGGACCCCATGTAAAAAAAAATGGCGTTCCCCTTTAACTCACAGAGCTCAGAAGATTAAGTTAAAAGTTCTCTTTTGTGTTCCTGTTGTGCTATAACAATACAAGATCATTTGAGATGAGAACATTATCCTTTAAAGCGTCACTATATGGCCCATCTACCCATTCAATGTGTCATTTTTTTTTTTTAATGTCCGAAGTTGAGAGGACCGCAGCAACCAGCAGAGTTCTGAAGGTAACGACAGCCAGGTCTAATCCCGGCCCGTCTGCAGCAGCCTTCTCTCAGCATAGCCGTGTGTGAATGACGGCTGGCTATGATGGCGATTTTTTCATTGTTTTATTTTTGATTTGTGTTTATCTGACTGTTCATCATCATTCCCTTACTAAATGATAAAGTCAGAATTTATTATTATCTAGAGACTATTAATAACAGGAGGTGACTAGCCGAGCGTGTGGTGACGTCACTATTAAGCTACTGTTCCAATTGACCCAATTTAATTATTTGAGCATTTATTTATTTATGCATTTATTTTTAAATATAGTAGAGCTGGTCCTCCATAGATTTTGTTTTTTAATTTTTACAATATGGATTATCATGAGGGTCGTTCTTAATTATCTCTATATGTCTGGTTTGTTTAGGCAACATCCTGCAGATTGTGTCCGCTCCAGGGCAGCCGATCATAAGGCCCCAGGGTTCCATGGTAATGCAGACGATGCCTCAAAGTGTTCCTGCGTCTAGTGCAGCAGTTACACCCGGAACACCCCACCCTGCCCTCTCAACAGCTCAGCAAGGTGAGCTGCTGTTTCTTCTCATTGCATTTTCTAATTCTCTTATTTTCTATTTCTGTTATAACAAATAAGAAATATTCCGGTAGTTTTTACATTCTTAAAAACATTTTTTTTATTATAACTTTTGACACTGGCTTCTTTGTATGATGATTAAGTTGTTATCTGCACATGTCTTTCTTTTATTAGCAGTGGGTGGGACTACAAATGCAACATCATCTCCAACCAAGCTTACTGCTGGAAGTCATGGTGCACCCCAGGTGAGTTGGATGAAGTATCATCACAAGTTTTAGGACTTTTACTTTAAAAACAGTAACTAGTTTTTAGTTATTTCTAACAAGTAACTCAGTTACTGCACAATCAGAGTAATGAATAACTGGTCATAGTAACAATGCAGTGTTTTTACTCTCATAGAGACTAATGGGATTCTTAAATAAACAAATACAAATGTATGGGAGGAGAATCATAGAACTGGATAATAGAATAATACTCCCCTCTCTGTGTGGGTGTGTTTGGTTGAAGATTAAATAAGACAACAAACTTGGGAAATAGTTACAAAGAACACCTTCAGTTGATTTAGATGCAGGGGGAAAAAAGTTGCAGTATAATTAGTTTTGGCCAAATTAATAATAATTTTATTCAGGACATTAGTCTCATTTCATTCTCACCAGTTTCCCTCTAAGGTCCTTGAAATGTTTACTTAGTAGATGATTTTTGGTTCTCAAATAAAGGGGAGGTGGAGGAATTTTTAATATAGCGGCAAAAATGTTTATTCCCAAAACATTTACAATGATTCCATTCATCGTCTCCTTTTTTTTTATTCTTAGGAGGTTTCAGAAGAAAAGACGCAGCAGCTGAAGGAGCGGCTGAACCGCTTGTTTGAAGCAAACGAGCAGCGCTGTAACCGCAGAGTGTTGTACGGGTCAGATCTGCTGCAGGCATGCACTGTGAGCTGCGAACCTGCTCACAGCGCCCTGACGGCGGGAGGCTGGAGGTGGGTAGGCAGAGAGAGCTGTATTCGAGCTCAGGAAACCTGCGTGGGAACCACCTCTTTGCTGCAGTCTTCTTTGCTTACTGTGGAGGACCAGCATGAATCCAGAAAAGGCCTGATCAAAAGGTACTTTTGCTTTTATTAAAACCGGGTTATCTTGTTTTTCCTCTGTTGTTAAATGGTTCATAATCAATCACTGCATCTTTATTGAAATGGAAAAACTATAGCTGATCAGTTACAGCTTGCTTTTTGATTCAGTCCTTTAACAAAGTCACTTTTGTGAAGGAATGTGTAAGACACATTTTTCCTATAAGTTCTTATGAATTGTTTGTTGTTGTTTTGCAGGCTGAAAGCCGTGGTGCCAGCAGCTGTAGCTCCGCCTCCTCATCTATATGCAGCCAATCCTTCAGTTCCCTACAGGCTTGAGCAGAAATCCTTTCAGCGGCGCCTGCTGGAGGCCTCTGAGCCCCACAGTGCAGACATCCACCAATTAGCATCCAGACATTTCTTAAGGCACCCTGACTTACAGTTAATGCAGATGGATTCAGGTTTGTTTAAATGTGCACCATTGAATTGGAATTTTAAAATAACTGTTTAACGCTTACTTATATAAGATTAACTTTTACATTTTAGGGTTTAAGATTTAGAAACCAAAAGCACTTGTTTTTCTGTTGTTGTTTTTTTTTTACCCAGAGTGGTTCCAGTGCTTAACTAGAACTGGCGCTAAAAGTTCTGAAATGGTTCCTCTACAAAAGTGGTTTGGTTTTCCACTGCCTTAGAGGTGACCTGATGCGTTCCCGTTTTCAGACCAAACAATCACCCTCTGCATGCCTAGAGTAGATGTTTCAACCTTTCACTTTTTTGCTCTGAGCTTTTGTTTTTAAAGATTTTGGTGAATTTATAAGGGATACCTGAAATATCTTTTTAAACAGGGTTTAAACACTTCAAGGGCCCAAGTAAGGGTTGGTAGCAGTAGCCCTGCAAACTGAAATAGTTTTAAAGAGAATTATGGACAAGGCGTGTGCAACTAAATGTTAGCAGAAAAATGCATTTGATCCTTCCATTAGAGCTGCAAAAAAAACCTCCTCTGCTCAGATATTTAAAGGACGAGATGCAAAATCTCCCAACACAGGATGCTGGGTTTTATTTATTTATTTTTTGTTTGTTTGTTTCAAATGTCTTACCAATATTTTTGTTATTATTAAGTTGCTGTAGTTATTATCCTGATCTATGGTCTTAGGCAGGGGACTGCAACTTTCCAAATCCAATCCTTTTTGCTCCGAGTGCAGCTAAGTAAACTAACAACAGTTTATTCAGATTTTTTGTTTTTTTTAAAAAAGGAAAAACATAAAGCTTAAAGGAATAGTAAACCCAAAACATGATTAGCCTTCATTTTCTACTCACCCCCATGCTGAACAACACCCTGGAGTACTTTTTTGATATCTCAAATGCATCTGGAGATCTGGGAGGCTTCTTGCTGTCTGCTGACATTCAAATAATGGAGGTCTATGGCGCCCGAGACAGAAAGGTCCATAAAAGTCCACAAAAAACGTGTCAATATTCCTCCATACTGCTCGTCCAATGTATTCCAAGTGTCCTGAGTGGGTAGCATCCAGAATTTACTCGAAACGAAGTCATTTAGAATGTTTTTAGAGCATAAACAGTAGTGTATAGGATTTCCTGAAAGCGCGCACATGCGCGATCACGACGCTACGGAAGCCGGCAGACCAAACCAGATGAAAGTGCGCATTCAGCGTCTGCTCTGCCAATAATGCAAGCGTAGAAGAAGAAATGTGCTGTTTACCTGTGCAAAGAAAGAAACAACGAAAGAAAAATGTCTGAGGACTTCAGTGTTGAGGAAGAGCATGAGTTCTTTGCCGAGCTGAATGCGCTGGTTTGGTCTGCCGGCTTCCGTAGGCTCGTGATCGCGCTTTCAGGAAATCCTACGCTACCCACTCAGGACACTTGGAATACATTGGACGAGCAGTATGGAGGAATATTGACACGTTTTTGGGGACTTTTATGGACCTTTCTGCCTCGGGCGCCATGGACCTCCATTATTTGAATGTCAGCAGACAGCAAGAAGCCTCCCAGATCTCCAGATGCATTTGAGATATCAAAAAAGTACTCCAGGGTGTTGTTCAGCATGGGGGTGAGTAGAAAATGAAGGCTAATCATGTTTTGGGTGTACTATTCCTTTAATAATGATGTAGCATGGGTCTTCTGCTATAAGCTATTGATATAAAAAGAAAAACATATAACTTCCTAGCTAACTAAGAGAAAAATGTCTCTAAAACATGTATCTGGTTGTTTTAATCTCATTCTGCTGTGAAAATTTGCCACTGTTAAGCGGCACTTGGTCCAAAGAGCCACATGCGGCCTCAGAGCCACAGGTTTCAGACCCCTGTCTAAGCGAGGGCCTCAGGATGAGCTTTCTGCTGTGCTGCACTTGAGTTTGTGACACAAGACGATCGATTCTGTGTAAATTAGGCCTTTCAGTTGCCTGTATCATTGTACTCCATGGAATATTGAAAGGAGCAAGGGAAGACTATTAATGTAAGAAATCTTATTTATTTTTGTTTCCAAAGGTAAACTGGAAGCTCTTGCCATCCTGCTGCAGAAGCTGAGGTCAGAAAGTCGGCGTGTCCTCATCTTTACTCAGATGTTAAAGATGCTGGACATCTTGGAGGCCTTCCTGGATTACAGGCAGCTCAAATATGTGCGCATTGATGAAAACCTCACATTTGAAGAAACACAGGTAATCTGCGTAAAATCCTATAAATAACATTTGAAATAATCCTTTATCTAACAAAATAAATATCAAATTGGAAGCAAATTCAATAGTCTCATAATAAAATAATAGTCTTTCTCCACAGATAGTGCTTTATAAAAACCTAGGAGGCAAACACTATAAATTGTAACATTTCAGACCAAAAATTGAGTTTCTGCTTTAGTTTTCTCATTCTTTTGCCTTCTCTGCGACAGGAAAATATGAAAAAGTTCAACACCAACAGGCAGGTTTTCTGCAGCATCCTGACCAACTGCTGCTGCTCAGATGTGGGCACCATCGTCGACGCAGACACGATCATCTTCTATGACACAGACCTCAATCCCAGCATGGACGCCCGCACTCAAGAGTGGTGTGACAAAGTGGGGCGTTCCAAGGATATTCACATATACAGGTGATCTTATAAATTACACGGAAATCCGTTTATGATCCTACAAAGTAAGGAGTTGATGAAGGGCCAGTTGAAGCAACTTTCTATTTTTCTGTTTGTCTGTTTCTGATCAGGTTGGAAAGTGGCAATTCAATTGAAGAAAAACTGCTAAAAAATGGCACCAAGGAGCTTATAAGAGAAGTGGTTGCACAGGGTACTGACTACAGTTTAGCTTTCCTAACACAGGTAAGGTAAACCCAGAAATAGGCAACAATTTAGACTTTATTTTATTAGAGTTTAAGTTCACAAGGACCATAAAGGAACTGACATGTTGCTGCATTTCTGTAGTCGACAATCCAAGACCTCCTGGAAGTAGAGGCGACTTCAGGGGTGAAGGTGGAGGAGTTTGTGGTGCTTCATCAGGAGCCATCGGCCTCTGAAGCGATTTCTCCTAAAGTAGCGAGACCCTACATACAGGCTCTGCACAGTATAAATCTGGACAGCCAATCAGAGGAAGAAGAGCACCAGGAGGAGGACTTGGGTAGCAAACAGTCACCAGAGGAGTCGGAGATCCAAGCTAAAGAAGAGCCCGGTCTGTTAGAGGAGTTGAACGCAGTCATGGAACAGGTACATTTTTCTCTTTAGATTTTCTTCTGTAAATTGTTAAAAACTAAGAAAAAAAATCTGAAATAGAGAGTTTCCTGTTAATATTCCTTTTTTACTTCTCAGCTTACTCCTATTGAAAGATACGCTCTGCATTACCTGGAGTACCTCCACATCAGTGATGATGCTGCCCTAAAAGTAAGGCGTTTGATTTTGTTTGTTTTTACTTTTTTCATGTCTGCCTGATAATCTCAGCATGTTCGGTTGTGTTTTTGGCCTGATGAATGTGGTAATCCTATGCATTTGTGTTCATGTCGTCTAGGAGAGGTTGGAGTGTGCAAAGAGAGCCTGGGAGCTTCAGCAGCTACAGAAACTAAAGGAGCAGGATGAGGAGCACCAGACGACTGAGAGAGAGGAAGATCTCTTCACCTACACCAGAGAAGATGCTTACAACATGGTGGGTGGACAGTGTTATCCTGATCGGTTAAATAGAAAGTGTTGAACTACCTGTGTTTCCCTTTTGGAAAGTTTAATCTTCTCTGTGCGTTTTAACAGGAATACGTTTTTGATGCTGAGGAAGGGCATACCGAAATCATGCCGGTAAGGTGCTGCTGAATATGGAGTTTTCCTAAAAATGAATCACAGTTTCTGTTACAGCAAGATTTCTACTCTTTTGGATCAGTTTAAAAGTAATTTTAGGACTTGATGGATATAAAAAAGATAACTGATGGAAAGCTTTGTTTTTCTAGTACTTACCCCTGTCTAGAAATTATATCCATCAGCCTTCTTCCACCATTAAATTATTCTACTTTAACATGTCCATCTGATCGTCCCCCAGTCCATCAGCCCATCTGTCCTTTATCTATTCTAACCACCGGTGGTTCTTAAAGTGTTTTCAAAATAAAAACTAAACCCTTTTGGGTTTATTCTTCAGAGAACTCAGCTGATTGAAGGCTAATGCTGCATCAAACAGAACGCGTTTTGGGTGTCAACAGTTTAAACGCAGAAACTAGGAAGCCGAGTGAAACGCCGGACACCTCGCTTTGATGCTTCAACGCTCTGGAGATTTATCTGCTCTGTTCTGTAGCTAGAAGCTAGACAGCAGCTTACCTTTATTTACTTTGAGTACTTTGAGTTTTAACACATTTTTTAAATGAGAAAATCAACCTGAAAACATAATATGTGGAGTCAGTTCATCAGGATTACAATCCTACTTAAATATGCAGTTCTTGTTCGGAGGGGGCAGACATCCAGCATACCCGCAGGTATGAAGGAGGTCAGTGAAAACTGTGTGAAACGGCCAGGCTGTGGAAGATTTCCCGCTGCCGTTAGTACTGGCTGGCAGTGAAAAAAAGTGGTTTTAAGGTTTGCGGTTAAAACTGCCAGTACCAGAATCTAAAACGGATCATTTTTCAGCAGCATTTTTTTTAAATTGTTAGCTGATTTGAGTATTTATAAAATATTTCGCCACAGTTGACAAAATAATGGTTTTAGTGCAGCAATAATGACCAGAGTTCAATCTCTTTTCCTTGTACATATCAGTCTTTTCTCCCAGCTTTTTTAAAAACCTATGGAGTTTATCCCAGGCAGGCAGCTCGACGGGTCAGGGTATCACGCGTTTGCATGTTGTGTCTGTCCATTTTCTTCCGCTTATCCGGGGTCGGGTCGCAGGGGTAGCAGCTTCAGTAGGGAGGCACAGACGTCCCTCTCCCCTACCACTTGGGCCAGCTCCTCCGGGGGAATCCCAAGGCGCTTCCAGCTGAGAAACATAGTCCCTCCAGCGTGTCCTGGGTCTCCCCCTGGGCCTCCTCCCAGTGGGAAGTGCCTGGAACATCTCACATCCAGGAGGCATCCTGATCAGATGCCTGAGCCACCCCAACTGGCTCCTCTCGATGTGGAGGAGCAGCGGCTCTACTCTGAATCCTCCCTGAATGACTGAGCTCCTCCCCCTATCTCTAAGGGAGAGCCCAGACACACTACGGAGAAAACTAGTTTCAGCCGCTTGTATCCAGGATCTCATTCTTTCGGTCATGACCCAAAGCTCTTGATCATAGATGAGGGTAGGAACGTAGATCGACCGGTAAATTGAGAGCTTTGCTTTTTGGCTCAGCCCTGTGCACGCTGCACAGCAGGCGCCGCACAAATCTCCCTATGATCTCCTGCTCCATCTTCCCCTCATTCCTGAACAAGACCCCAGAATACTTAAACTCCACTCCTCCTCCTGCAGTTTCTGTCTCCCAAAAAAACTGCTGGATCAGCTTTTCTGATTTGTCGACTCGCCAAATCAAGCTGCAAAAGTTCATATCTGAACCTCAGTGTCGGACGCTTGGATGCCCAGACCTCTCAGCGCTGCTTGATGCCACTCCTCGTCGACTTAGCATCTAAATCCATGCTTTAACGCCCAGAACGCGTTCGGTTTGAACGAACCTTCAGAAAATGGTGGAATATGGAACATATTACAGTTTAGGAGTTTTCATTACTTTCATGGCTTCCTATGATGAGTTCAAACAGAATAATCTGGATTGTTTTCTTTCTCTTTTTTGAAGTATTTTGGTCCAGCTTACCCATTCGCTGTGCTCTGTGATCCTTCAACAGGTTTGGACTCCACCCACCCCCCCACAGGATGACAACGATATTTACATCGATTCAGTCATGATGTTAATGTATGACACCACACCTATGCCAGAGTCCAAGCTGCCTCCTATCTACATCCGCAAGGAGCATAAGAGACTGAAGATGGACCCCTCAGGTAGAAGATTTGTCCAAACCATTAAAATTGTTGTCAGCTGTTCACCTTCATCTGAGCTCTGCTTTTGTCTAACAGCTGCCAGAAAGAAGAAGAAGGGTCACGGGGAGACGGTGATTCCTCCACGCTCTCTCTTTGAAAAGGCCAGCATGCTCAAAGTTCGGCGTGAAGGAAAAGACCAGAAAAAGAACTTTTCTCTCAAGCAGCCTCCTTTCGCCAAACCCCTGCCATCTCTGGCTAAGCCTGCCATGGAGGCTGGTCAGGATAACCCAGAGTGGCTCATCAGTGAGGACTGGGCTCTGCTGCAGGTAACCGATCCTCCCTTCTTTTTTTTTTTACCACACTTGAAGTCGAGTTAAAGAACGGTTAACTTTTCATCAAGCTGTTGTTTTGGTTGTATTAGGCAGTGAAGCAGCTGCTGGAATTGCCTTTGAACCTGACCATCGTGTCTCCTGCCCACACACCAAACTGGGATCTGGTCAGCGACGTGGTGAACTCCTGCAGCCGCATCTACCGCTCCCCGAAACAGTGCCGCAACCGCTATGAGAATGTCATCATTCCTAGAGAGGAGGGCAAGGTAGTGAAAACCCAGACGGCATAGTTTGAAGTCAAACTGACTGCTCACGTGGTTCTGATCACTTTCCCGTATTTACAGTTGGTGTACGAAGCGAATCCTAAGAAGAAATCCAAGAGCATATATAAGGTATCCTTTCTTACCTTTAGAGCGGCTGGATGTAGTTCATGGTTCTTTTTGAGTTCATATTTTCCTCTTTGTTTGCCTACATTCAGTCTAAGAACAGCCGTCCTTTGAGGACCTGTCAAATCTACACACAGGATGACAACAGCTCACAGATTCAGCTGTACAGCAGCCGCTTTGAGCTCATGAGGATAATCGCCAGCAAGAGGAGCCCTCCGATCAAGCCTCTGGGGTGCGTTCTCAGTGATTCATTTGTTGTTTTCCACCGTCTGAGAAAATATTTTACCGTATCAGCACAATGAAATAAACTGACTGTATTTCATTTTATGACAGATGCGGTCGAATTAGATGTTTGGGTATTTTGCTTTGAAAAAAAATCATATTGATTCCTAAAGATTGATGCATTAAACCAAGAATTTATTTAAATAAATGCTTTCTCCACTGTTCTTACTGATGCCTGTTGTGGCTCTTTGCAAAATATAAAGCTGATGATTGAGCCCCTAAAACAGAAAACATTTCAAAAACTAATTTTGAAACGTTTTTATCCCTTTTGTTTTTTTTGTTGTTTTTTTTTTAACAGGCTTGGAATGAATCCATTCCAGAAGAATCCAAAACATGCTTCAGTCTTAGCAGAGAGGTGTGTTAATGACATTTTTAATTTTATTTTTAGACAAACCTAAAGAAATTTCTATCCAGAAACTTGTTTTCTCTTCCTCTTTCAGTGGGATCAGCTACGATAAGCCCTTACCTCCCATTCAGGTGGCCTCTCAGCGAGCTGAAAGGATTGCAAAAGAGAAAAAGGTGACTATCAAACTAATTCATATTTAGATCCAGGTTAAGGTACTATTCTCAGTCCAATTTTTTATTTTTTTTTTGGTAAAGGTGTCACGTTGATGATAATAGTAACCTGGTTTGACCGAAATTAGAATCTAATGTCTGACATGCATGTGATCTAACCTAATAATAAATGTCAATACGTGTGCTTGCCTCATTCGTGTGTTGCTTAATCGCGTTACAAGTTCCTAGAAGGATTAGTAACCGCATTTTATCACATAAAGAACCATTTATTCTGCAATCAAGAAAGAGATTAGCAGGCTTCCTTTATCTCCATTCCCTAGTTGCACAGCCAGCAGCCGCTCTGACTCATGTGACACACTGCTTATGCGATAAATAGACAAGTTGTGTACTGGACGGAGGAGATTAGAGATAAAAGAAGAGCTGGAGCGTAAATACTGCTGTAAAAATATTTTAAGCCCACAGATGACATGGCGTCATCTGTGAGCAGGATTTTGGCAAAGGTTCATCATCCAGCAAGGATATCAGCACCTGATGCTTCTTCTAGAGAAAATGTCCCCTAAATGTGAGGATTTTTATGGGCAGTGTTGGCCTAGTGGTTAGAGCAGTGCGGTTGTACTCTGAGAAGGTTGCAAGAAACCGGTTCGATCCCACAGCCAACATTCTGGGTCTCTGAAGACCACACTACTTCCCGCCTCACAATGGCAGCCCACTGCTCCCCAATGGGATACTTGTGATGGTATAATGACACTGGAAAGGCTTTTGTCACCCATGCTTGTTTCTCGTAAGACAGAGGTCGTCAACGTTTTGAAATGGGGAAATATGAAATGGTGTTATATCAAACTGGTCCTATAGTCAATCTATTACAGATGGAGTAATCTAATAAAAGTAATTTCTCCCTGGGATTATTAAAGTATTTCTGATTCCTGGTTGATGGGACAGGTGTTTTGAATGAAACGGTGCCCAGCTTGAAAGAGCTTCTGCGTGTCGCTGAATGTTTACATTGATGACTGAAAGACATCTTCTGCCTCCATTTATCTGTTTACTACAGTGTGTTGAATTCATGTTAATGTGGATTTAAAGACATTTCAATTAGTGGAAAAAAATTGCAGGGGGGAATATTAAAAAAAGTCTATTCAACCAAAAGTTTTGCAGTCCCCATGAAGTACCTCTGTGGAACCCCTAGGGGTCACAGACCCCCTGTTGAAGACCTCTGTCATAAGAAAAAAGTAGTCTGACAACTGGAGGGTAAACTTTGCATCTCTGTTTGCGGAGGTTCATCTGGAAAAGTTGTTTATGGCTGCTTTATACTAGGTGTGTTTCCATTCAACTAAAATGTGAATTTAAAGCAAACTTTTAAAAGTTTGAATTAAAGAAAATGCAAATTTGTGTTGTTTCCATTTGGTTTGAAGCGAATCAACCAAGTGACGCAACGTGTGATGCCGTCATACGTTGTCATCCACTTTGCATCATCACATATTGGCTGCATCTCTGATTCCATACTTCAAAATTTACATTTGAAAAAATCAATGGAAAGAACAGCTACTGTTCCTATTTTACCTAGAATACCTAATGCCCATCTGTTATTTGTTTGTTTCATTGCAAGCCCAGCAGAGCGGGATTCATGCACACTGCGTTTCTCAGATGTATTTATCTCATCTTTTTAACCTGTTTGTGTTTGCAGGCCCTTGCAGAGCAGCAGAAGGCCCAGCAGCAGTTGGCCCAGCAACAGGCTGGAGCTCCTCAGGCTCAAGCCACGGCTGGTCAGGCCCAGACTCCTGCCGCTGGCCAAGCGCAGGTTCCACAAGCAGCCGGGGTGACTGGAGCTACTGCTGTGCCCAACGCAGCCGTACTGGTGAGAAAAATGCCTTTATTACTCTGTATGTGCGGTAATCCAAATTGACTCATTCTGTATTAGAACACTATGTTTGTTGTTTGTAGGCTGGAGCTATAAAAACCGCCACTGTGGGCACAACCATTCAGGCTGGTAGGTTGATACCCAGATGTTTCCTCTCATGGCAGAGTTGTTGTTTCAGAACTTGATTAACTTCTCCAATTCTTCTCCAGCCACTGTAGGGGGGAATGTGATTGTGAACACAGTAGCAGGGATTCCCCAAAGCCCCTTCCAGGCCAATAAACGCCTGGCATCTCCAGTCACCCTGTCTGTGAGTCGTGTTCTTATTGCTGCTGTTCAGGGAACTAACCTCACACAGGCCTTAACCAGCTTTTTAATGTCTCGTTGTTATTATTGATCCAGCCTGCAGGTGCAGCTGGAGCCCAGGTGGTCCACCCACAGCAGAGGGCTGTCCCCGCCGCCGCTGCCTCTGCTGAGGTGGTCGCTATAGCTACAGGTGGAGGCGTGCGAGCCGTTACCCCAGTAACAGCCCCTGCTGTGGTCTCTACTACTTTAAGCCCTGTGCAGTCACAGACACGCCCGCTGGTCCCTCAGGTCACACCAGGTACACAACCTCATCAGACCCAAGTTTCCTCCTTCCTACCATGATGCTCTTTGCAGGTTTGGATCATCTGCTGTTGTCTTTCCAGCGACAGGTATTCAGATGGCAGGGAAGTCTCTTCATGCAAACCAACTGCAGATCTTACGACAACAGCAGCATCTGCAGCAGACGCAGCAACAGCAGGCTGCGTCCACTCAGATGAAAGCTGTAGGCAAACCTCAGGTACGCTAGACGGATGCTTCAGACATTTTTAAAACAATCTTCAACCCAATTTGTTCTCACAGGCCTAAAATGTAACCGGATTGCTTTTGGCTGTTATGATGCAATTTCTGGAGAATTTTAAAGCAGCCATAATTTGATTAAGGTGTGTTAGAGACAGCGGTCCATATAAGAGTTGCAGGAACGTAGCTCTAAGCAGGGTGTTAGAGGAGTTATAAAAGGTTGTAAAGGGAACTTTGTAAAACTTTAAAAAGTATAAAAAAGTCATGAACATGATCTGACAAAATACTTTATACTTAGAATACTTTTCTTCTCATTTGTGTTAAAGGCTCCTAAAAAAAATTTATTGATCTAGCCTACAGTATATAAATTTTTTATGTCACAGAAGGACTTGAGGCAGCAATGACAGAAAGACATCAGTCAGTGTGTGTAAGGAAGAGGTCATATGGTCATATATATATATTTATATATATATATATATATATATATATACCAAACACAGAGCAAATAAGGCCCCATACACGATAGGTGGTAGCGTCTGCCGATGTTCTGTCAGACCAGCATATCCATAATCAATACGCATGCGCAAGAGGTCAAATTTAAGGTCATATCGCCATACACTTAAAAAAAACACCAAAAAAGGTCATTAAATTTAGTTTAAAGTCTATTTAATTACTTACTTTTTGGTGTTGTTTTTGAAGCAATATGACCTTAAATTGTTTTTTTGTACATGACTAAATGGATACACGCCTGTTGAGGTAGTTTAAAGTGTATTTTTCATACAAAACTAAAGGGATAAACGGGTCTTGACTGGGTATGCTAGTCTGACCGGGTATGTTTATCCGACAGAACACCGGCTCAGAGCAGGCAGTCATGTTGACCTTGACCATCTCCCCCTCACTGACCGGTGTCTGGTGAGAGAGAAGATGTTGCAAGGCCCCCAAACTAGACTCCGCTTTTATGTTTTTGTAAAGCTAGAAGGCAACATCCAGTAATACTATGGAAACTAAAGCCAAAGGTCCGTAAATTGACTCTGTGTGGCTCACAGTATGTGGGACGGGCATAAATACTAATAGTTAAAATACTAGTATAGCCTGTTCAGCACAACTTGGAATAGTTCCACTTATAGGAACCCAAAAAAGCTAAAAACTGACTTTATAAAACAAATGCGTTAAGTTTTTCCAAACAATAATGCAGTTTTAAAAGTTTAAGTCCAATACAGGAATTTGGACTTTCTCTATTAGAGTTGCACTTAAATGTCTTAAATGTTAAATTCCTTTAACTTGGAACCTTTTCTGTTTTTATTTTCTTTTTCTGTTTCCTTCATATAGCTTGAAAAGAGATAGCTTTTTTCTTGGATTGGGTTTAAATAACAAATGTTTTATAGATCAGTTTTAATGAGACAACAAGTGATAGAATATCCTTAAATTTGAATAATAGTGCTTTAAAATGTAAGCATTACTAAAATAAAGGACTACAGATATTAAGCAAAGAAATTGTAAGTTTTCAGTCATTTTAAAACTAGTTTTTCCAAACTACAGTAAAAGTTTCCAACACAGTTGCAGCTCACAGTTGTGTGGGTCTTAATAAAACTTCTTAGGGTGTTAAAAACTATATAAAAACTCCTGTATATGCATTGTTTCATGGACCTGTGGGTGACAGATTATTGAAATTTGACCTAATCCAGTGGGGGATCTACGTCACACTGGGAGTGTTGGTTGAGCTTGCTGTATTTTGGAGTGAATATAGCTTCTAGACATGCAAAGCAGATAGAGAAATACCTCTAAGGGTGATAAGCTGTAGTGCAGCATTCAGGGGTAAAAAAATCTTTTGTTCCATGAGTCTATAACACAAAATCTTACTAGAATATATTCAAATGTCTAGCTTTAAGGTAACACGGATGAAACGGTTATACTAACAGCGACTCAAATGACATCTGTGTAAAAAAATTTTTTATTTATTTTTGAGAATGAAGCCTGCATACTTTGCTTCTCCTAAACTCGTTCATGGTTGTGTTTCTAGGACTTGTTAAAAGTGCAGAGACACAAGGTGCCGTTGCAGCAGGTGGCTGCAGCGACACAGGCTCAGCAGGCAGGCGTGGCACAGCAGACCACCCAGGTGCAGCCCGCTCAGGCCGGCCAAGCCAGTCCTCAGCTCGCTGCCGTGGCTACAGCCAGACCTGGAACTGTCCTCACTGCAAACGCGCTGCAAGTGACCAGACTGGTAAGCTCAACAAATAACCTCCACTCATTATGCACGCAGCTACAGCTCACACTGTATGACCAAAGCGCAGGGTTTAAAAGTTCACAGCTCGCGATGTATGTTCTCAAACTGTGCGACCCGAATATCTGATGCGATCTACCTGCTCACGCTTTACATCTAAAAACAACGTTGGACTCAGCTCTGGAGTGAGATAGATGGACCTACTCTGACTTGTCTGTCTGGAAGCCAGAGGAGTAGATTGGAAAATGAAGCTCACTAGAGTGAAACGCGCTGCCTTGGCAATTTGTGCAATTTTGTGCTGAAAGCCCTAAAAAGAAAAGGCCACAACGTATTTGGGACAAAGACATGGCTGAACAAACGTGGCTACTACAGTCTGTCAGTTTTACAGAAATTACTCCATTTCACTCATTGCACCCCCGCCATACTTCTGTGTTTTCTTAACATTTAACTTTTTATTGGTATTTTTCTCTTATTTACATATGCAGTGTACATGAACATTATACATCGAACTCAACATAACATAGAGATTTCACTTGGGAGCTATTCAACTATTTGGCCTTTGTCCCGTCTAGTTTATTTATTTTTTTAATCTTTGTCACTGTCTTTTGTCTTGAATCTTGTCCATTTCCTCCACTTTTCTCCCATTTGAGTTTGTTGAAGTCTTAGACGATGTGTCAGCTTTTCCATAATGTAGATTTCTTCTATTATTCCAGTCCATTGTTCTTGACAAGGGGGGTCTGCCTGTCCCCATTTCCTCGTGATAGCTTGCAATGGAATTTCCCATTGGGAACCTACTAGCACTAAGTTGCTATCTGGTTAGCAAGATGCTTCCGACAAACCGGCCACAATCAAACTTGCTTGCAAACCTTCCGCCACAACAATCCCGCCCCCTTGACAAACAACCAATCACATTCACTTTATTCACTCGAGTAAAGTCGTGCACCCCTGGGGAGAATTCGGAAATGCAACAATTGGAACAGCTTCCCTACGACTTTAAATTCTCAATTTGTTCTTTTCCAGACCCGGGTGCCCACTCAGGGGCAGATCCCGGCCCAGGGAGGACAGACGGCTCAGGTAACCCTCACTAAACCTCCTGTGGTCTCTGTGCCGGCTGTGGTCTCTGCAGTGACCACCATGTCATGTGTGGCTATTAATCAAGCACAGAAAACTGGTAAGGTTGAAGACTTCATTTGATGTTTTTAGTTTATTTTTTACTCAAAATAAACACTTTAATGTAATCTCTAAATCATTTGCATGTTTGTCAGTATTCAATTCCCCCATAGAGGAGCAAAAAGTTCCTGGTTATTTTTAATGCCGTGAACAGAATATTTCCTGCTCTTGTTCTTATTGATAAAAAAAATGCTACAAATCGTTAATCAGTTCTACCTGGTCTGGTTACGTTATTATCTGGTGTTAAGGGGGCCCGGTGCTGACGCCAGCCTTCTCTCAGATGCACGTCGGGCAGCTGATTCCCATGAAGAAGCAGCAGCATCCAGCAGCCATCCAGGCAGCCGCGGCGCAGCAGAAAGCAGGGCAGCCTCAACAAGGACAGGCTGCCGTGCAGCAGAAGGTAAAAACACCAAAACTACACCTACAGGACGATCTGATGTCTTCTAATCAGCAATAGAGGCAGCATATGTGTGAGGGAAGTTGTATGAGTTGTCTGTGTAAATGATTTATTTGTCCACAGAGGTACTGCATGGGGGGTCGTGAAAGTTGTGGTTGATTAGACTTCTTTTTTATATTCCCCCTGCAGTTTTTTCCACTAATTGAACTGTCTTTAAATCCACATTAACCTGAGTTCAACACACTGTAAACAGATAAATAGTAAACAGTATAAATAAATAGTGAACATATAAATGGAGGCAGAAGATGTCTTTCAGTCATCAATGCACACATTCAGCGACACACAGGAGCTCTTTCAAGCTGGGCACCGTTTCATTCACAACACCTGTCCCATCAACCAGGAACCATTACCCAGCATGCATCAGAGCAGACTGGTCTGTTCTTGAGATTGACAGCGTATTAATACAGAGTATTAAGTTAAAAGTTCTCTTTTCTGTTGTTTTTTCTCTATAAAAGTATGTTTTAAATACTTGAAATACTTTTAGGCTTCACCATATGGCCCATTTACTGATTTAGTGTGTAATTTAGAAAAAAAAGTTCAAATGTTTAGAGGACCATGGCAACCAGCGGACCTCCCAGGGTAACGGCAGCCAGGGCTAATATTAGCCCGTCTGCAGCAGCCTCCTATCAGTTTAGCTGTGAGTGATGTACCGCTGGCTATGATGGCGATTTTTTTTTTTTCATTTGTATTTGTGTTTATCTGACCATGTTAACTATTATTCCCCCTCTAAATAAAAAAAGTAATAAATTATCATCTAGAAACTATTAATAACAGGAGGTGAAATGCAGCTCCAGACAAGCCGAGTGTGTGATGACGTCACGAGTACGTTTTTATTCAAATTGACCCATAATGCTCAATCTGTGGTTCTGTTTTCGTCGTCATTTTCTCCTCGTTAATGTTGGTTGGTGAACCTCTCCAGGTGCACTACTGCCACCAACTGATAAGGAGTGTGACAGCTTCTTGGGAAGTTTTAGATTCATACTTGTCAATTAGTCATTTATAATTTTATTATTGAAAAGTTGTAACTTTTTATTTGTACTCATAACTTTTTAACTTATATTTTTACATATGAAACGTCTGATTCCTCATGTATTAAAGAATCGAGAAAAAATAAGCAAATACAAATCTCAAATGGACTTAAACCTACGTATGTGTTTTGATTGTTATCTAACCCCGTTCCATATGCATGTTTTGTTTTCATCTGTGTACAACATGGCTTCTTTCTTAAAGAAATCTTAAATACAGACTTCAACATCAGCCTAAAACTTTCTTTTTAGTCTTTAAATTTGAACAATCAGGTTTTCTTTGAGTTAAATTTAATATTTTTCCCAGAAATCTTCAGTGTTGTTCATTTGATGCTGTTGAGGATCATAAATTGGGATTATTAGATTGTAACTAATCTTCAACCCACGTGAAATTTAACAAAGTTTGGCAAGGAATAGATTGAAGTAATTCTCTAAAGCTGGTCTTCTAACATCTCTGTAATCAGTTTTATTTGGTCCAGTGTTGCAGTTTAGATTACATATCCTCTCTCTCTTTTTTCTCCTTTCTTCCTGTTAAAGGCAACAAGTCTTAAATAAACCATCACCCAGTGTTTTGTCAGCCTGACAGTAATAGTTTGTTTAGCATATATTCATTGACAGATGTCTGAGGAAACGGCTTCCGGTTTTGCATTTTGTGATTTATTTGCTCTGATCAAGGCATTTAAAACGGCTTTTAATCTTAACTTGATTTTTTATTGTACTAAATGTCTTGCCTGTCGTAAATTTAGTGAGGATAACACTTTGATAAGAGAATTCATTTCTTTATCGAGGTCTGATTTGTCTGGAGTTTTAGCAGCGCTTTTATTCTAAACCCTGGATATTTTCTGAAGTTTTTTTTTTATTTTTTTGATAGATTGGAACCCAGCAGGTGACGATGCAGACAGCTCCGTCAGCGCAGCAGCAGAAGGTCACCTACGCAGCAACAACTCAGCTCCAGCCGGGAATCAAAACCCAGTTCTTCACCACCACCACCCCCATCGCCCAGGCCCCAAAACCAGCTGGAGCCCAGCAGATCCAGGTCGCTCATCACCTGTTTACCCAGAGTACAAAGTCTGCACATCTTTTCCGTGTTTTACTGCTGATCTAACAGGCTGTTTGCTCTGTGTTATAGGTGACTAAGCTTCCACAAATAGTGCAGCAGCAGACGACTGTGGCCAACATTCAGCAGATTGTTTCCTCTTCCCAGCAGGTGAGGCCGCTCTATTGATCCAGCTTGTTAACCTGCCTCAGCTCTGTAGTTTGGAGCCCGTCAGCAGGGTCATAAACTTCTCCTCTTGTGACCCAGGTCCAGCCTCAGACTGTGACTCTGGCCCAGCCCACCACTTCAGCTCCCGCTCAAGTCCAGATGATTCCCGCAGGGCCGCCCAGCGCTCAGGTGGTTCAGCAGAAGATCATCCCCCAGCAGGTGGTAACCCCCGCCACACAGATCCAGCCCCAGAATCCGCACAGCCCCGCCCACCTGCCCGCCGCCCCTTCGGCCGCAGAGTCCCCCGGACAGCAGTCCGGTCAGGCCCAGCAGCCCAACAAGAATCCAGCTCGCCAAGGGGGGGTCAGGACCAAAACCCCCGCCAAACCCAGCGGGGGGAGCAGCTAGTCCTGCTTTGTGACGAATCCCCTTGCCCTAGTTTTTTTGGTTTTTCTGCGGATCACATGACGTTACAGATCCCGCAGCCTCCAAGTCCTGGAAACCAGCCGCTGTCTTTATCACACCAAACCCTTTTGTTTACGCCTGTTAACTCTAGTCAGCTCTGAGTGTTACAGAGCTAATAAGTGATGAGCTCTGGAGGATCAGCGACGACCCGCCGCCGCTTCTGTTCTGCTCCACAGCCATCAGGAGCAGCGATCCCTTCTTAACCTCATTTAAATGTACATTATTTGTTATTAACAACTTCATTCTGAACCCTGCAAACCACGACAGCCCAGTCCTCCACACATCACTGCTGTCTTCTGTTTGATAAATATATATCTGCCCTAACAGACGTCCCAGGCTGGGGATGGAGTCACTCTGCATTAGTGTCAGTGTGTTCATTATTAGTCCCTGTCTGTCTGTTTCTGTTGTTACTAGTGAAAAAAGATGGTTGTTCCTTTAATCGCTTTATTTTTTTTTTTTTTAAATCATTATTTCAGTAAATACACTGTAAACATGTACTTTAGTGTTTTTGTGTTTCTCAAATTCTTTTTTTAATTGATGTCAAAAGAAAAAAAAAACTGTAAATATCAGCAAAAACATTTGTACTTGTAAAGTAGTTGTGTTTTCATTGGATTTTTCAGCCTAATTGTAATAAAGTGTTTTGTTTTTATACACAAACTCATCTTTTTCCTTTCATTAAAGTGTTGAAAGTACTTAAACATGTCGTGAGTCCTTAAACTTCGACACACTGCACTTAATTTATCTTCAGATGGAAATATAGACATGTTTTTTTTTATGTATTATCAATGCTGAGATAAGAACATTTAATTATCAAATCCAACTAGCATGTTAATTTAGATTGCAGCTTCAATTATTGTGATACATTGTTTACCAATCTACTTGCTCTGGAGAGCAGAGTTCGCTTCTTTTTATATGTTGTTGCAAAAGTCTCCAGTAGCAGAAAAAAGTCAATAGATTTGTCGAGATGCGCTAAAGGGGTCTGAAAAGTCGCTAAATAAGTTAGCAACACTGCTCTTTGCTTCATTCGTTTTCAAATGGTTTGCTGCTGTCTGTTTGGACCTTTCTGAACATGTGCAGCAAATGGACTGATCCAATATGGTGGACACTGAAAGGGGGGGTTATTAATGTCCACAAATAAGGAATAATTCTGTTAACCATACATGTAAATAGAGTTTTATGGGGCCCCCAGGAACTTGGGTTGGTGTGTTTCTACCTAAGAAAGTGGTTTGAACATCCTGCAATGAAATAGTTGGTGTTCATCCAAGTGTAGATCTTTATCTTCATTCTCTGCTGTAAATAGTCCGACCTTTATGGTTTTATTAGAGGACAAAGGTTTCTGCCCTGGAAAAGCCCCTTTCATTTCAACATGTTCAGCCTCCTGAACTTTCTTATCAGCAGCAGCGTAAGTCTTTAATGGGCCCTAAAATCATATTATTGACTTCCTTTAGAATCTTGAGACTTAAACAACTTTTTGTCTAAGTCTTTTTGTCGTTTTGTATGCAAAGAGTGTATACATTTACTTTCAGACAGTAAATGAGCAGCAGTTTAGCATTGCAATGAACGTTTCCATTACCTAAAGTGCAGCAGTGATCGAATGTAAACTGTGTGGGAGAAAAAACATGGTGCAGAAATGCATTGATATGGAAGATCAGAGCATTTCAAGACAAATATATACGGTGCAAAAAAACTCGGTGTGACTTGATTTAGAGTTTTTTCAACATTCAGCAGTCTAATTGCGGTGGGGAAGAAGCTGTTGCAGAACCTGCTGGACCTGCATCGAATGCTGCAAAGCCCTTTTCCCAGAGGGCAGCAGGGAGAACAGTCCATGCTGGGGTGTGAGGCAGAGCATGTGAACGGAGCACCACGACGCACAATTCCTGCTCCCCACTTAAGCGGATTTTCGCTCTGCCGCTGAAATTTGCACCGGGACGCTCTGCTCAAATATCGCTCCGCGCTCACCTTAATTTTCCTGCCACTCCTGCGAAATCGTTCCTCGCTCACTCAAAATTTCAGGAGAAAGCATTTTTTGTTCGTGTAATTATGCCAGGGCCCTGGGACACACAGCGATTGATTTAATGATGTGACCGATACACGTCTTATTTACCTGAATGTTAAATTATCGCAAATTACGTTCCCAGCTGTGAACGTAACACCTCGCTCCTTTCATGTTGCCATTTAAATAATTTTTAAAATCACACTTCAATCAAAAAAAATTTTATTTTACAACCGTTATAATCAAACATGTTGAATTGACGTTGAGATTGAAAACTGCTCATATTTTTTCTGCTCACATGCTCTGGTGTCAGAGGTCATTGATGGTGTTATGGGCTCGGGACACGCAGCGCTTCAATGATATGTCTTTAATGGAGGGAAGAGGAGCCCCCATGATCCTCTCTGCTGTTCTCACCCCTCTTCTCTTTTTCTTCCAGTCTGAGGCGCTGCAGCCTCCACAGCACACAGTGAGAGAGCTGGTCAGAACGCTCTCTATGGTGCTTCTGTAGAAGGTGGTGAGGATGGGTGGGGGCAGATGGGCTCTCCTCATCCTCCACAGGAAGTAGAAGCGCTTCTGGGCCCTTTTGACCAGTGAGGAGGTGTCTACAGTCCAGATGAGGGTGTCTGTGATTTGCATGTGATCAGATCAGGGCACGCCTGAGTTTGTTTTTAAGTTCTAGATTTATTGAAACACAGAAATCTCTTTGTACTATGCTAAATTTTTTTAACCATTTGCTCACTTTATAAAACACCTGTCTGTTATTTCTACAAAAGTGCCTTCTTGATTTATTCTAGAACAGAAATAGCTTTTCTTTCAATTGTTAAAGATTTAAGAAAAAATCATGTTTGTTACTCTTGAAATTTTCAAATTGAGGTAATATGAGATATGAAGATGTTTAAATATTTAAGTTAAACACACAAACTTTTGAATGGGAGACCAATTGTTCAATTTGTGATGTTTATTTAATCAATTTGAGTTTTTTTTTTTTTTTTTTGTTATTTAGTCTAACTTTTCGAGACTGTTCTCTGCAACTGAGTTTATTTAGAAAAACTTTGAGAGATCAAATGATTATTTGAGCCTCTGTTTCTGCTCATCTTGCTAAAACGTCACGTCATTCTGTGTTTGACCACAGGGGGTCGCTGTTTCACCATTTTCTGGAGCCCTGCTACTCTTGATTTTCCAGCTCAGTGAAATTTCCAATCTGCTCCCCAGAGCACACCCTGAGCCCTTCCTCTCCTCTGACACTCGGTGGCCGCTCCACCATCACAGCTAAACGAGTGAGACAAGAGAGGTGAGGTGGAAGAGAGACGAGCAGATGGGCAAAGCTGGTTCCTTTGGCCCGGATCTCACCCTGCCCAACCACTTCACCAGATTAGTCAGAAATGGTTTGTTTTTGCTCTTATTTGACCATTTTTAGGAATTGCATTAAAAATAAAAAACACAAAGAGCCTTAAGTTGTTTAGAGTCAGGGGCGGATCTACAGGGGAGCATGGGGGGGCTGAGCCTCATTACTGTATATCACTAAAATATTTTGGGGGGTTTTTGTCCAAAAAGCTCCTTACAGCTTTCCAATTAAATATTTAATTAGCCAAATATTATTTCTGCTCATTGGGGCAGTGTGTAGCACTGCTGCCTTGCAGCAAGAAGGTTCTTGGTTCCATTCCCGGCTGAATCTTTCTCCATGGAGTTTGCATGTTCTCCCTGAGCATAGGTTGGTCCTCTCTGGGTAGTCCGACTTGCTCCCACAGTCCAAAAACATGACTGTTAGGTTAATTGGCTTCTTTATATTCTCCTTAGGTGTGAATGGTTGTTGGTCTCTGTGTTGCCTTCCAATGGACTGGCGACCTGTCCAGGCTGTACCTCCTCTCGCCCATAGGCAGCTGGAGATAGACACCAGCACCCCTCACAACCCCCCTAGTGATAAGCGTGACAGAAAATGGATGCATAGCCAAATATATACCTCTATAATCTTTATTTTATATATATATATATATATATATATATATATATATATATATATATATATATATATATATATATATATATATATATATATATATATATATATATATATATATAAAACATACTTGCCTGTCTTTTAGGAAAGCATGCTTTCCAAATAGTGCTACTTGTATTTCTTACTTGTGAACAACTTATTTCTGGCTTCATATTAGTATAAACTTCTAGCCATAATGAGTTGATTAATTTTTTGTTAAATTAAAGGAAATGTGAGGAATGAGAAGTAAGAAAACACAGAAATTAGAGGAAGGAAGATGTCAGCATCATGATGTCAAAGAGAGAGAGCAGAGATAATGCAGAGGAAACTGATGAAGGATAACAGGAAGGCAGAGAATCAGTGTATCCAGCATCCAGCTGAACCACCTGCTGTTTAGATTTTAGCCCTTAAGCTCTCCTAGAAGTAATGACTGAAAATGAAGTCAATCAAAGGTACTTTTCTGACTTTGTCTTCTTTGTTGATTTATTCATTTAGTAGAATATTAGTTTCTCTTGGTTAGCCTGTAGCTAAGTTCACTTGGTTTGTTAGTACCGAAAATGGGACAATATTAAGGTATGAAATAAGCCTAACTAAGCATGGTATCCATTTTTATTCACTTCCCCACAGCGGATGCTTTTAGGAACCACCTCATATTGCAATAAATGTTGCAGTTTACAGTCATTTTCTTAAAATAAGGACATAATTTAAAGTTAAATGTATTTTGTAACTCATTTCACCGAGATGATTGATGTTTCTTAGTCTAATTTCTTTATTTTTTATGTTTATACTCACAATTGACAAAAACAATGTTTGTGATTTGACATCAGACCAATAAAAAATGTGAATACAGAATTTTAGGCTTAATCAAAACAATGTTTGATACCTGCCTAAAGCTTGCTATTTGCAGAAGATTTAATTTGCACCTCACTGGAATCCATTAAAAACAGCTTTGTGTTTCTGACAGAGCTGCTAATATAGACTGAAATTTTCGCACATCATGTATTCTTTTTTTTCTCATGTGTGCTGTGTCGGCATGGGTCAGCCTCAACAAAAAGGATTTCTTAGGGTGACTTACTTAAATCAAAGTGTGCAGGCCACTTAGCTGTAATAGTGACCTGTGTTTGCACGACTTTCAGCTGTGTGGGTTTGTTTATTTGTTTGGAATATTTTTAGAAATCTGTGTGTTTGTGTTAAGTGGGTGTTTGGGAGTTGCACAGCTACAGGAAAAGGACACAAGGCATCAGCAAAGAGAAGCCAAACACCCTGCAGAGGGACGTGGAGGCGGAGGCCTCCATCCACGCCCACAGAAGGACGGACATAAGGAGGGAATATGCATTCATTCTCCTTTACAAACTGACTCAGTAAAATCAGAAAATAAAACCTCTAAAAACAGCAGGTTTTAATTAGCAGCTAGCTGTAGATTTGGTGTTGTTCTCTGATGATGACTCTGAGCCTCAAATGACTTCAAAACACTATCTGTCCTGGATTGCTCTTCATTTAAAAATGATCGACTTGCTCTTTCCATTCACCTGTCTACTCTGCCCGTGGAAAAAATAATGCAACCGCTTTAGGTATTTACTTAATCATATTTAGTTACTGTAACACAATTGTTTTATGTCCTACACTGCTAACATGAAGCAATTGTGTTTAAGTTAATGCCAAAAACAG